ACAACCAAATGAAAGCTTTCTCAAATTTTTTCGAATAATATTTGAAAGAAAGTTGAACAAGCTTTCAATTTGAAAATGGAGCTTTAAAAAACCAATAAAAATGTCTTAATTCTCATATTGATCAATTTTCTTCCTAATAATGTTTAAAAGAAAATTAAACAGGCTTTCATTTGGTTGTTTTTTTTTTGTCACTGTAGCTCAAATTTCTGTCTGGATATTGTACAGTGAGATCCCAAAATAATTGGTGAAGAAAAAATGTCCCTCAGTCAAAATGTCCCTAAGTTGAGTCTCATTGTTCCCATAGACTTACATTAAATAACTTTTAATTGACGTTTTCTGGACAAAATATCCACCATAATTCCATGAAAATATAAAAAATCGTCTCCCGATGGAAACTGATTCAATAAATATCTTTCAACACAATAATGACATTTGGAGCATTGAATACTGATACTGTACCTCTGTACAGTACATTGAGATGTTGGGATTCTCTGTAAAAATGCCATAAGTAAGGAAAAAAACAAGAAGGGAGTCCCTCTATGCTGGAGCGAATTTTTTTTTAAATTAGATAACTGATGGTAGGTAAATGGATGAGAGAAATGCCAAAGAACTTTTCTCATACCGATTTTAGGGCTTGAAATATCTGTTCCTTGTAATTTGGCGTGAAACTTATTTGAAATTTAGCAGACAATGCTTATACTGTATGTCAAGTCAGTGTCTGCATGTCCAGCCTTTTTAATGAATTTTTTATTGAAAAAAGTGTCTCTAAGTCAAATTGTCCGCATTTGGGGGTCTCACTGTAATTAAAAAAAAAAAGAAGCAGTTTACTTTTTCCTGGTCCTCCCTGTATATTATGGGTCCCCAAGTCAAATCATCAGTATGCTGTGCAGGTGTCCCTGTATGTCGATTGAATGAAATTTTCCATTCTTTTCTCTCCTTCTTCCCCAAATCCTACGACTAGTATTGTGATCAAATAAAGGAGTTTGTCTTTTTTTCTGAGCTTCAAGAAGAACATTATAAATGAGGTTGAATGCTTGAAAGCGACGACAGTTTAAAAAAAAATAAAGTCAAACAGAGGATATCCACTGTATTATTGAAGAAGAGAAAGTTGGACTGGATTCGGTGTCGAGTTTGTCGACAGGCAAAATGCGATCGTCGCTCGGATTTTCACGGTCAGATGACGAATCCCTGCTGCTGCTGCTGGGCGTTCCCATTTACTTTGTCTGTGGCTAAATTTATAAAATATACGTATGATGCATCAGCATACTTTTTCACGAGTAGAAAATGAAATGAATGAAGGCTCATTCTCTTTTGTGTATACGGTATAGAATATAATATACACGCAGTATGTGATGAAGGGACGACGACTCGACAGAACATCACCACCTTTCATTTGATCGTCATCCTTGGGCGGGGAAACGGGAAAAGTTTCCGCAGATTCACTCTGCTGATATTTTATCGTCCATTGCTGAAGCAGAGAGAGAGAGAGAGAGAGAAACGAAAAAGAAAAAATGAATTAAATCAGTTAACTTTTCATTTTTAGTGCAAGACTCACTGATTTTTCTGCTGCTCATGATTCCATTTTATTCTTTAAAGAAATATGCAAACCTCGTCATTCATCGCCAGTTATTTAAATAGCAACGATGTAAAAAAAACACTTTTCGAAGTATATAAGGATATAATACAGAGAATCTGAGACGAGTGATTCAGCGAAAAATTCAGTCCGCAAAAAGCTACGAGTCACTGCAAATTTAATATATTCACTAAACATACCGTACGTATATCCAAAAAGCAACATTGGCTACCTTGAATCATTCTATACGCCCTGTTATTCAGCAATACTGGATTGCAAGTCCATATTGCAAGCCTTATTGCACAAATAAATAGCAAAACAAGTTTGATAATATTATTGCATATAAAGAGATGATCACACAATCAAATGAGAAAAAGAAAAAGAAAGACATACAAAAAGAACAGCATTGCCGCATTTGTCAAACTGTACAGTATATGGAATCAATCTCTCATATGCTAAAATAATAACTCAAAATTTATACAATGCTCCATATATGTATACCCTTTTGATGTATGGACAATTAAATGCATACAAGAACTACAATATACTCACAAAAAATGCAGTTTGTTCAATTTATTTTTTCGTTCATTGTCCCCTTGCTCATGCGTTTTTTTTTTTGGTGCTAAATCCTCCAGCAGCAAACAAGGCAGCGACATCTATATGCTGGAGCGCATGTTCAAGCAAGCTTCAAAAAATATTTCAATTTGATTGATGAAATTTTGTTGACGATTTCAAGGAATGCGAGGCACGAAACCCGTGTGACTTATTCGGGGGTGCAATAATGAAGCAACAACAACAATTAAGGAATAAATAATAATTTGTTACATTGCAGAAACGGCAATGCTGAAGAATAATTGTCACGTTTAATTTACTGTACACTGTACATATTGCAAACCTTTATTTTCCCCTCACTGGTTTGCATTTTATACGAATTGACCAGGATATGGGAGAACCTCCGCATATCTATTACTGTATGAAGTAAGATTATATAGTAGTTTTACAGCAGTAAAATTTAGGAAATTTCAAAAGTTTTAAAACCAGCTCCGTGATTTCATGGATGCTGTGTTTTTGCTGGTCGGTCATCAGCATATGTACTGGACTAAATCACGGAGAAACGAAATAAAAGCGAAAATGAAACAAATAATTCATTCATCCGTATTCATGCCTGTCTTTTTTTCTGTTCTGATTTGCAGAAGATATGTCTCGTTAATCGAGGCAATAACCAGTCAGCTGAACTTTGTTCAGTCATCCGCTTCGTATCATCATCGATCAGGATATAGGAAATAAACACAAAAGGACGATACAGTGACGTGTTGTGTTTTTGCTTGTGCTTCCTGTTCCTTGAAAAAGAAGAAGAAGAAGAAGAAGAAGGATGTTGATGATGCTGCTGATGATGATGATGATGATCATCAGCAGCAGCAGTAGCAGTAGCACCATCAGCAGCACAGCTCTATCGACGAGGAAATGATGCGCGGGTGGGAGCAGGAGTGACACCTGGATGAAGCCCCCGGAAACGGGCGCCCCGACTGCTGCTGGTGGCAAGCCGGGCATCGTGCACACTGTGGACCAGGCCATTGAGTGCTTGTCCACGCGGACTAGCAGCACGGTTGCCAACGGCTTCGAGAGCCTGCCCAGGGCCTGGAGACGGAAGCACTTGCGGGCCACAAACAGTTTGTCTGGTAAAATACTGTACATTGCTATACTGTAACATAAATCTACGGTATATGCAGTGCATTAAAATCCAATTGTTACAACAAAAGCGTTTGCTGCTGGGGACTTCAAAATAAGTTTGTTATACTGGACTGCAAACATGCATAATTTGAAATGGCGAGCTTTTTTTAAAAATTCATTGCTAGAAGACACATTTTTACATCAGACCTGCTACCCATCCATTATATTATGTTTTTCTGGCACACTGAGATTCTTTTTTATTGTTGTTTGAAAAACTGGGTGATCTTAAAAGAAAAAAAATGATTAGCTTCACTCATTAATTCTATCACTCGCATGAATCAGTGCACTCTATGCTGCAATTTCTGCTCTGCAATGCCGTGCGAAAGAGCTGATTTTACTGAAAATGTTGTAAAGATATTTTTTTAAACCAAAATTTTACTACTGTATAAAAAACGAAATAAATTGATGTGGGACTGCTCTTTGTCAAAATCGTTCAAAGCGAATGCTTGATGCAAAATTGCTCATATTCAATAGTACTGCACGTAAACAGTACAGTACTGTAATTGTATTTCAAATAAAATAAATGCAGGTTCCAGTGACGAGTCCAGCAACAGCAACAGCAGGCGGTACTCGGTTGGCGACAGCCTCGCAGCTGCCCTCATCAACGACTACCACCTGCATCTGCCCAAGTACAAGCTGGGCTGGACGTCTTCCGGCGCCACTTCTTTGAATGGCGGTCGTCGCAAGACCATCTTCGACGTGGAATTCCGCTCCAGTTGGCAAGAGGATTCGTCGGCCAGTCCGTCGTCGTCCGCGCGGATTTGGGAGCCTGTGCGAGCGACACCTATGGCCACTCTTGCTAAGCCTGAAGAGGACATTGACGACGGTCCGCTAGTGGAGACGCTGATGGTCACGGACGTGAAGCCCGCGAAATGTGAGTGTGGCACCATATACTGTACAGTATATATACAAAAGGCATTACAGTATTGTATGCAACTTTTTTTCACCTTGTTCATGCACACCATACATATTTATGGAGTATGCGTAGATGTTTCTCGAGAACAAAACCGATCACGAATGCCGAATTTTTCATTCTTGGAGGTAGACGAAGCAGCAGTCTTGAAATTTGAAGCTGTACAGTGCTTGATTGATTATTCACAGTGCAATATTTGAATTCTACCAGTCCTTCACGATAGCCGGTATATTGTCTGTCAGAGTGGCATCTGTGCCTGTCGCCATAAAACAGTGACTTTCACATGATATGTGTAGGTGTCGCTGTAACAGTTTTTCTAGCTAGTACACGGGTGGCGGGGGTGGGTGATCCCCGCGCATATGGCAAACGTGATTCTTCCCACGCAGAATACAACTCTCTTATTCTGCTGATGCTGGTTGAACATTAAAAGAAAAACACGTGAGTGATGAAAACATTTCACTGTACAGAATTGCAGAGATGGGAGATACTGTAATAAGAGGAGGAGATGAGGAAAGAAGCAAACCGCGTTGATAATAAGCATCTTGTGCAATTGAACACACAAAAAAAAAGCAACAGAGAGAGGGGGGGGGGGGCGAAACGAAAAAGAGGCGGGTTGGGGGGAAACAATTTGCACGCATCGCTGGTTGACGCAGTGGACGGAAAATCAGCCCGAAAGTTCGTCGACTTTCCAGATAGATGAATATACAGTATTGGTAGCAGAGAGAGGAAGATTTGGACAATTGGGTATATACAATGGGGGAGAAGTGAAGAGATGACTAGATAATGAAAGAAGAAGAGGAAGAAGAACAAGAAGAGTATCCACCAAAGTACGGAATTGATGCGAGGAACGAAATTCCCAGCGTGGCTGCTGCTGCTGTTGACCCGCCGCAACGTCACACCTCGTCGCGCTTTTGCTCTTTTCTCCCTCTTTCCGTCTCTTGTTTCTGCTCCTTTTTTCTTGCTCCCTCTCTATTTTGCCTCCTTCTCTGTCTGTCATGCGGACGAGAGCACAGGCGCAACTCGCGGCGGGACAGAGAAATGAACATTGCGCGCAGACAGATCTATATATGCTGTATCCATTGCCAACAAACTTGTCCGTGCTCTCGTCCCTCTCTCCTGTACGTGTATTATAACGGTGCGAAGAAATGAGTACGTTGTCAGATGGAGAAGATGAGTGCAGTAATGTACTGCAGATCTGAACTGAACTGAAGTACAGTAGTGCAAGTATGCTGCAACACATGTTCCCATACTTCCCAATGAATTCCTTCTCTTTTTCTCTACACACATAATCGGTGATGATGAATTAGGGTTATTTTCATTTACATATTAAAAAATGACAGGTCTATGGAAATATTGATCAACAGCCACTGGAGGTATTGAAAAAAAAAAAGAAATATAGAGGCGTTTTTTCTGCATCTTGCATACACATTTTTCTTTTACTGTCAATAATGCATGCTTGTGTAGCTTCAGAAACTTAAGCCATATCATAAATCAATTGTAAGTCATTGTGTGGGTGGTAGGTGAAACCAAAGACGGTTCCGGCCTTCAGTCAAGTTCAACTGAAGCACAGTAGTGACCTTTCTGGCTCAGATTTCCAACAGTACTGCACTCATCAAATGAAGCGCAAAAAACCCCCATGCTGTTTCTGTTGGAAAAAATTCAACCTATCACTATCCCTGTTTATACAAAACAGCATGTGCTGATGGTTCACCACATCCAAGTTCCTGGAGGAATATACCGTACTCCTCTCTCAAGAACAAAATATACTGTACTGTTTGTTTGACAATAATCAAGAACAAAAGTTGTTGATTGGGAATTGGGACTGATGGGTACCAGTACAGCAGCGCAGGTCATATTGACTGTTGACTCTCAGCAGCACTAGCAGCAGTTATTGGCACCACTTGACCCATCATCATCCATCAATGCTGACATTGCCAAGTGCTGGCAGTATATATCAGGCACATTTTGTGCTGTCTTTCCTTCTTTTGCCTTTTTCTCTCTCTCTTTATATGGACACTCTCTATATGCTGCATATATACATGCTGCTGTGCATGTACATATAATGCAGCATAGTAGTGGACTAGCTGTGATCACAGTGTATATACCTGCTGTAAATTTGACAGTATCCTGTATATATACATATACAATATACATGTACCTGTGAGCTGTATTAATGTTACTCTTGTATGTTTTGTGTTATATGCTCCCAACAGCTGCAGCGGGGGGAGGCAATAGCAATAAAGGACAGGAACAGGGAGCAGGAGGAGGAGGAGGAGGAGGAGGAGGAGGAGGAGGCTCAACAACAAGAGCACCAGGAAAGCAGCTTCATCCCACTGCTGCTGGACGCTCAGGCGGCAACACCAAGCCCAACAGCAGCCAGTCAGTCGCCAGCGCGCATCGCGGCAACATGCCCGCGGAGTTGTCGCCAGCACCAACTGCATTATTGTCCACTTCAACGTCCACAATCGGTAAATCCCGGTCTGCGTCGTCAGCCACCAATAATCATCAACATCATCATCACAATAACAAGCCGGGCTACATGCGGCCAACCGTGTCGGGGCTGCAGAAGCAGCGTGGTGCCAGCAGCAGCAATGGCAGTGGCAGTGGTGGTAGTAGTAGTAGTGCTCTGTGTCCCGCGTCATCATCGCCATCCTCAGACACTGTGAGCAGTGGTGGTGGTGGTGGTGGTGGTGTTGCCTTCAAGATGTCGGCCCTGCCGCGCGCAGTTGTGGTGGTGCAGTCTTCGTCGTCCAGCAGCAATAACAATAATAATAATAAGGCTGCTTCTCATCATCATCATCATCACTCGCGATCAACAACCACCACCACCATTGCTAGCACTACTACTACTGGTGGTGGTGGGAGGAGTAGATCTGCGAGCACTGCACTGAGTGGAAGCAAGTCGTCTCTGGTGTCCAGCAGGAGTCGCAGTGGGTCAGTGTCCAGTGTGTCTAGTTGCGCCCGGTTCCCGCCGCCCGACTTCAAGTCCACCAAGTTGCCAAGGGCCACTTACTTGGACGCTCAGGCGGCAACACCAAGCCCAACAGCAGCCAGTCAGTCGCCAGCGCGCATCGCGGCAACATGCCCGCGGAGTTGTCGCCAGCACCAACTGCATTATTGTCCACTTCAACGTCCACAATCGTTAAATCCCGATCTGCGTCGTCAGCCACCAATCATCATCATCCTCACAATAACAAGCCGGGCTACATGCGGCCAACCGTGTCGGGGCTGCAGAAGCAGCGTGGTGCCAGCAGCAGCAATGGCAGTGGCAGTGGTAGTGGTGGTAGTAGTAGTAGTGCTCTGTGTCCCGCGTCATCATCGCCATCATCAGACACTGTGAGCAGTGGTGGTGGTGGTGGTGTTGCCTTCAAGATGTCGGCCCTGCCGCGCGCAGTTGTGGTGGTGCAGTCTTCGTCGTCCAGCAGCAGCAGCAATAACAATAATAATAATAAGGCTGCTTCTCATCATCATCATCATCATCACTCGCGATCAACAACCACCACCACCATTGCTAGCACTACTACTACTGGTGGTGGTGGGAGGAGTAGATCTGCGAGCACTGCACTGAGTGGAAGCAAGTCGTCTCTGGTGTCCAGCAGGAGTCGCAGTGGGTCAGTGTCCAGTGTGTCTAGTTGCGCCCGGTTCCCGCCGCCCGACTTCAAGTCCACCAAGTTGCCAAGGGCCACTTACTACCGCTCCAGTGCGGCGAGCACCACGACGACGACGACGACCACGACCACCAACAACCAGCATCATGTGAGTATACCATCAATGACAAAAGAAAGGAAGCCAGACAGTTGTTTGGCACTTCATAGTACTGTATAGTCTTTTCTGCTGGTGAATAGTGCAGTACCTCATCATATATTATTGGGAACCAAGAGTTTTGGGATATGAGCGACCCGGCGTATCAATAAGTTACTGAGTTGCACTCCTGCTGTAAGCAAGATCTGTCCACACTTGAAAAGAAGAGAAAAACATATCAACAACTTACCATAGGTGGTTGAAGTTGAAAAAGAGTAGGCCTGTGACCCAAGAAAAGGGTAAAGGGGTTGGAAAAGCCTCATCACCAAATGAAAGAGAAAAGACTTATTATATAGATTTTCTTTACAATTTAGGGACTTGATGGTTGTGATTATAAAGTACAGTACTGTACTGCATTCTGTTCACCAATATACTGTACTTACATATATGCTCTTGATTCAAGGCTATGAAAGTTGATTAAAACTTGAAAACAAGAAAAATCAATTGCTGTAAGCATAAGATATTTGCTGGCCATGCATAACCGCAAATTATGTGTTTCATTTCCACACCACCACACTGTTTTTGCTTTAGTCTGTTGCAATTCACACACAAATACAAGCACAAACTTTGTAAATAATTTGTTCTGTCAGCCTATTTATTATAATTCCAACCAAAGCCCTGACTTGAGTAGGTTTGTGAGAACAACCTGGACCACAGGTTACATTGAATCTCTGACAAGAGGCTTCTTCTCACACAACAACAAAATTGGTGTTTGTGTGTGTGTGTGTGTGTGTGTGTTGGATATAGTTGGGAATAAGTTTGACTATATACTTGCTGGCAGAAGGTATATATAATACAGTAGAAGAGAAAGCCAGGGAAACTTTTGACATACCCCAAGGCTGCAAATAACACTTGGCCGGTGGGTGGACAATAACAGCCCCAGGGGAAATCTCTCTCTCTCTCTCTCAGGCAAAGGCAGGCAGGCACACACCAAAACACAAGTATACTGTATCCATAGCACTACCAACAACAGTATACAGTATATATATATACATCCCTGTTGGAATCTATAATGGTGGTAAAGTGTGGGTGTAGAGGAAACAAGAAGAACAAGGAGGGGGAAACAAAAAAGGAAATGACTGCGGGGTCTCCCACTGAGAAATTCTCACGCGAAACCCAAAAGGAAAGCCACAAACATTGCCTTTTCCTCGCAAAAAAAAAAAATAATAATTCAAGTGACTTGAGACCTGGCGCCTGTTTCCTCCCACACCAGCAACTGCAGCACACTACTTGGTTCTTTATTGCTGCTGCTGCTGCTGCTGATGATGGCACCTTACTTATTCTGCAATTGTTTTTCTTTTCTTCTCTTGTGCTTTTTCCACCAGAGTTTTTTTTTTTCCTGTGGCTGATGGGAAACCAACTCTGGTTCTTGTCTTCCATTTTCAACTCTTCCCTGCCATTCCACATATACAATAATAACAATAAAATAAAATGCCAGGAGAAAAAGAGAGAGAAAGAAAAGGATTATTGGTGTGCTGCTTACCATGCTTGGATGCCCCTAACTAACCATCGTCCTGGTTAAGGGGGGGGGGGAACAGAAGAAAAATAAATACATGTGGTGATGGTGAAATGCTTGGATAAATCACCACGATAGCAGTGTCTTTTTTTATTTTATTTTATTTTATGCAACATCCTGATGAGCTGCATCACGGCAGAGGCTGGATGATGAAGATGATGAACATCAGCCAACAAGAAGACTTGGAAAATAACTTTTTGGTGCATGTTTCATATGGGTACTGTATATATATACCTCACATAATAGTAGTGGAATTGTCAAGGAAAAATACTCAGTGCAAGGGCTTATTTATTTATCAGAGCAGCATTTATAGTTTCTGCTAATTTTTCTCTTCAGTTTTTCGATGGGGATCAAACTGGGAGACATGAAAATAATGCTCTTTGTGTTTGTTATACTTTCTTACATATAAGTAGCCTGACTCGGAATTGAAATATGAGGTATACTGTCTGGTTATTATATATATGCTTGAAATTCTGTTTTCTCATCATAAACTCATGCGTGTTCATCATCTCCTGATGCCAATCAGCAGCAGCAGCAGCAGCAGCACCAAGACATGAGCTAATTTCGCGAGCAATGAAGCATCCCAGGAAATTAACCTCATTTTCCTCGGATCCACTCAATTACTCTTAACGGACCCTCGTGCTGTCTACTCTATCTACAACTATATGTATACATTTTTTATTCTTTTCTTCTTCTTCTTGCTCTTCTTTTCTCGCGGTGCTCGAACTAATGGAGGGAAAATGCGGACCGAATCACTGCCAATCACACGCACTGACCTCCACCAAGCAGCAGCACACAGAGCACCGAGGAGGAAAAAGAAGTGCACGAGTTTCTTCTTTTTATTCTTCACTGTGCTGAGTCATCATCATCATCATCCTCCTCCTCCTCTTCTCTTCTAGTTCTTTTCCTTTTCCTTCTTCTTCTTCTTCTTCTTCTCCTTTTCTGTCTCTTTGTAGAGAGAGAGAGAGAAAAAAGAAAAGAGAAGAGCGATAATTTCGAGTTGTGAATTCATGCTCTCGAGAGTTTTCCAGTTATAATAAGAAAATAGGTGGTACTTATATATATCAATGAAGGTATATGAAATTCTTTCGCATTTCTTCAAAATGAGATGAGGAGAGGAAAGAGAGACAGAGAGAGACAAACATGAGGCAGAAAGAGAGAAAGAAAGAGACACACACACACACACACACACACACATGAGCACAAGTGTGATGGCCTCAGGGAGAGGGGATATTGGTTGTGCAAGAAAACTCTAATCAAGTGTGTGATGTTCTCTCTCTCTCTTGCTGTGATAAATTCAAATTGCATGCTTATTATTATTACTATGACGTCCATGTACGGTATATAGTATTATTCTGCTGTGCCTGCAGGGTTTATCCCCTCAGCAGTCTCATCATGATATCAAGTCTGCATCAGCCCAGAGGCTCTGATGCTGCAGCCTTCAGACTTGCTGGCGACTCTGAGTTTGATTAAGCAGCAAACCAATGTTCATATGTGAAGGATATAGGCATTTAATTTGCTTATAGCGCGCTAATATATTTTGGTGCTTATCATCGAAAAAAAAAGAATGTAGAGGCTTCCTGAAGATTCACATGTTGTTTTCTTCTTTCTCAATCATGCATCATGCTTTCTGATGTTTCATTTATTTTGATGGATGGATAGATACATAGATAAATAAACAAACAAACTTTATTTTCTGCTTTTCAGCGTTCACAAAGTGCAAACAATGTTCCCACATCCAAACCACTTGCCCTCCCCACCCACACTCATCCAAACACATCAAGTTACATCAAGGTGTAAAGTAGAGAAATAAGCTAGCTGAAAATATGCTGAGTATAAATGGAAAATAAAATGCATCACAACATGTACAAATGCACAACTGATGCAAATGCGTACATTTTGGTCCCCTCAATAGATTACAAAAAAAATTAAATATTGATCAGTAATAACAATTACATCATATTGCATATAAAAAACACAAATAAAAGCACAATAAGGTGTTCAGCCTGCTATGGTCGAGATAAGTTTTACCTGATTAAACAATTTGGGCAGAATCTTTGAGGAGAAATTGTATCAAGCTAAGAGTTTTTTTTTTTTGGTCCTCCTTGATTTTGGAAAGAGACTTATCAAATTTCAAGAGTCCCAACTCTTTGTGAAGCTCATTTCTGTAACTGTGGAATGCTGCTGATTTATTGTGTGTTTTACTTTAATATAAAGATGTGTAAATAATACACTATCCATATACAGACAACATGGCCTGATCATTTGTGTCATGATGAATTGAAACATTTGAATTGAAACAGAGGTGGGGATAAAAAAAAAGAGGATGAAGTTATATTGTACACATATATCGATACTGTACCTCTGAACTGAATTGTTGGATTTCTGTTGGCCGAATTGAATGGCACGAAATTATTATTCCAATAAGTTATGTACGGTATTTCAAGGGTAGGTGTTGTTCACAGTTCTTTGAGCCAATGCTCAACTCTGCCCAAACGGGTAAAAGACCTGCCAAATCGAGTATTTTTTTGATTTTTTGCTGACCTTGCTTCAATTATTCTCAAGGTCAATTAGATAACCTCGAAGGAAATTTTGCTCCTTTTCTTTCCAATTGTCCGAGTGAAAGAATTTTAGCTTGGTTCAACCCTCAATGCGTCGGATTTTGAAACTTTTTTAAATTTTGTTTCTGCTGGGTAGAACATGCCTAATACTGTACTGTACTTGTTTTCTCAATTGCAGCACAATAGCAATATTCCATAGCTTCATATCTCAGGCCAGTGTAGTGGAATGACCAGGAAAGGTCACGGAAATCTCAAATCTACTATGGGTGACTTAAGATGGAACAGTTTCCACTGAAGCCATAATTCTTGTATGAGGATACAAATCTCCTGTTTTTCCAGCAGGTCTCTCACTTTATTCCTGTACGATGAAAAAAAAAAGAAAGAAAAAAACAACTCTGTGCTTGCCTTATTGTGTTCATTCTCTTGTCTTTATGAAATGCTTCAGGTTTGAAACAAAACATATCATGAGGTTTAAACATTTTAGAGCTTGTTTCTCATGCTTATGTACAGACAATTTTATTGAATATTTCGTGATCATTTAAATTGTATAAGTACTGTACTTGGTATTTCTTTCTTTTGTTGATGTTCCATTATTTCGTATATTTATTATTCATGTCATAATTGAAAGAATAATGCCGTTTTTCTGAGATGGTTTGAATCTATTGTAATTTTTGTTGCTGCGAATTTGCCGCAAGTTTTCTCAATATTCGAAGGGAATCCCCAAATGCACTCATTCAATACACGAGTCTCTATAGTCTATACAATGAAAGAGTTCACACCAAGTTCTGTTTTTACTCAAGAGTGATTCTATCATTAAAAAAAATAAAGTTTTCATTAGTATTATTATAATATGGTCGAGTGCTGGGAATAAATGATCGTCAGTAACGGTTCCTTCCGCGTTGCGTGAAAAATGAATGCCTTTCCGCGTTTTCCTTTTTATTTCATTTTTTTAAACTTTCTGGACGATGAGGATAAGAATCGGCATTGTTGGATTATTTGCGTGGGAAAATGGGGCACGGGAATATACGATGAGAATAATAAATAATGCAGAATGAAGTCGAGCCCATCTTAATTCTTCGTCTTCTTCCATTGTTTTCTGCGGGCAAGTCGACGTCGACTCGAGACTCGGTCCACGTCATTTCCTTTCTGATGCCTCTCGTCGTCGTCGTCGTCCACCATCAGAACAGTCTACCGTTTATTTTATTTATATGTATAGATTTTTTCTTTGAACGAAAGACAATTTATTGAAACGAAAATCATAAGTGATGATTTTTGTATACGTTTTGTATTTATTTTGGAGTCCACTATACATTTTAATCATCAATTTATTTTTCACGTGGAAACCATGTTTTAATATAGTGTGCATCAGCGTCGTTTTTTTTTTCTTTCTCTGGATGATGAAAAAAAGTACAGTGTATAAAATCGTGCGCATCTTTTGTGATGCTGGTCTGACCCCCCGGGGGAGGGGGAACAGAGCGTTTAATATTTCTTCCCGCCGAAACCTGGGTCACACGAACCAGGTCAACTTCGTGACTCACGGGTTTTTCTTCTTTTTTTTCCTGCTGTTGCTCCTGCTGGACGCGAAAGAATAAGGAAAGGTACAAAATGTGAGCAAGTAAAATTTAGAAAAGAAAAAAAAAGAGAGATTGAGCGTTAAGAAAGTATGCGTGCGTGTGTTTCGATCGAGAGACCTTCTTCTTCTTGCCATTAATTTGCGGGTTTGTTCCGCGTGGTCCCTTTTTTTTCTTTTCCTTTTCTTTTCTTTTGGCAGTGACTTTTGCAAATGCGCGAGTTAATTGCTATGCTGCTGGTACATGGACCGCGGGGAATGAGAGGAAAAGGACTTTTCCTTTCCGCCTAATGTGTCTGTCATCCTTTCTACTTTTTGGCTCGCCAAACTTTTACTTTTTGAGTTCCGAGTGCGCTGAATCAGAGTGAATTTATATAGGCTCTCTCATTATTGGCTGCGATATGGGCAGGGCTGCATTGCATGTGATCAATCGAGTGAGTTTCTTATTTCCGCGAATAAAGTGATTGATTGATTGTTTATGGGAAATAAAACAGTAATGTGTCAAATTTTTGGCAGAAATTGAAGGTCAATCTGATGCTGTATATGGATTGCAACTGAGTTGGCTTTCAATATCGTCCAAGTGTTCTCATCCGCGAATGATACCAGTTTAAAATACTTTGTCATTTCATTTCTTTAAATTTTCATGTTTTCCACCTCTACACTATTTATTTTTTTGTGTGAATATTTAAATGGTAATAAATAAAATATTGCATTTTTTGGCAAATGAGGAATATGGAGGCGTCTGCTAAATGTCTGCTGATGTGTCTTCCTTTTTATTTTTTTTAGCAATTTTCTGGACTATACCGTATTTACTTTTTTGCTTATCCGCTGAATATCGCTTGATCCAAGAATTTCCGGTGCATCGTCTCAAGTTAGTTTTAAACACATTTCAATTCTCCGTCCTTGTATAATTAAAAAAAAAATCATTCAAGTGTGGATAGATTTTTCTGACAGTCAAATCACAATTTTGCGACGTTTGCGCGTGATGATTTATCATGATTCCTGGTGAATGATGATCCGTTTTTTGTTGCTGTTGTGAAATTCGTATATATTGTATACGAGGGGTTACACGTTTCCGCGCGGACTTGAAATGATCTGCTCAACACCAAGATTTTTTATAAAACATTTTTCTCACATTCACTTCAGTTCCAAGATTCTATTAGACAGACACGTTCTTAATGTCCTCAACACCAATGTATGTGTACACAATTGTCAGCCCTTTTGATCCATGTGCTAAAAAACAGGCCTTGAAATGTTCACTTGTTAATTTGTGAAACTTCCCCCATCAGCAGCAATTAACAAGCTCATCCGCGTGGAACCGTGTCACCCCCCGTCGTACAAAAGGAAAAAATAAAATAGAATAAAATGCTCGATTTATTTCCATATCACTGAAAAGCCCGTTCAGTCGGGTCTCAACTATCATTTTGCCACAAATATTATTTTTTTGCAATTGACAAAATTTGGTGTCTCTGCTGCCTTTTTAATTGTTCCATTCATTTGTCATTGCATCACATATAGTTGACAATGTCGGCGGAGCGGAATAAGAACAAGAAGACCCCGGCGAAAAAGACGTCGAACCCAGCAGCAGCAGAACCCAAGACCCAAGAAAAGCCCAACAAAAAGACCAGTAGCAGCAAGAAACAACAACCGCCAAAGGAAAAAGTCGTCAGCACTTATTATAGCAAGCAGAAAAAAGGTGTTGCTGCTGCTGCAGAAAAAGACGGCGGGAAAACGACGACGTCGTCTCGTCGAAATCATCATCATCAGCAGCAGCAGGAAACCCCTCTTCTTCCTCCTCCTCCTCCATCACCAACTTATTGTTCTTCTCGTCATCTTCATCATCATCATCATCAGACGAAAGGTGACGATCAAGAAAACCCCATGTTGGCAAAATCACCAGCAGCAGCAGCAGCAGCAGCAGAAGAAGAAGACGACGTCCAACTCGAATCGGAAGAACCATCAGCAGAAGAGCAAATCGAGGAGCGAGTGCTGATGATGGACCAAGAAGAAGATTCAATAAGTCGTCAAGTTCTACTCGACGACGCCGACAACAACACCAACAGTAGTAGTAATAACAGTAACAGTAGACAACTCCGACGATGTCGATTGCCAGCCGAGACGGACCTGATCCCGCCGGCTGCGTATCACATGTCGGATCCGTCGACGCCGGAATTCGACGCCATCATCTCGACGCTTCGTCGGGCCGTCGTCGCCGTCGACACTCATCCCTGGCCCAGCACAAGCAATAAGAACCCTTCTTCTTCTTCTTCTTCTTCGGCAACGACACGCGTCTTTACGAAAAACAACGCCAAGACATCAGTGACAGCGTCGAGTTCAGTGTTACCAATGATGATGATGAACAGCAGCAGCAGCAGGTTCCGCAAGGCCAAGAGTGCCGTCGAATTCGACAGCAGTGCCTTATTGTCTCATCCGTATTCGGATGCATCTTTGATGGTGCTGCCATCTGCGACGCACCTGCGGCTGCCGATGACACCACCTGACGCAGCCACCATGGCATCCACGTCTGCTGCATCAGCCATAGCCATGGCCCCTCACCAGAGGTCGCTGTCACTGCCCAAGTCATTCCTCAGTGATCGCTATGGACTGCATGGCATCCGAGCTGCACTTCCCAGGTCAGTGCAGGAATTTCAAATGTTGTCTGTGTAATAATCATCATCATCATCACCAATCAGCACCTTTTTTTCTTTTTCTCATCTATACCATCTGCACAAACAAGACAAACAAAAGTAATGTATAGTGTAGTATAATACCACTTGCTCAAAGATGATATTTCCATGTCACACACCATAGTTGGACACTTTTTTAAAACATATCCAATGACATCTGCATCATCATCTTTGAGAATGAGGCAACATGCATGGATTTTAAACCAATTATAATTAATTTTAAAAAAGATTGTGATCAAAAATGCATCAGTAAAAAAATGAAAAATTCTTTGATAAATTGAGCAAGAAGTTTAGCCTTTAATCCCTGGCTTACTTGTTCTACACATTTTTTTTAGACCCATATACTGTAGGCATTTGAACACAGCAAAGTTTGTAAGCCAAGACCCCATGAGGTCAGTCACTGACTGTTGAAAATCATACTGAGTTCTTCCAGAAAACATTTCCAAGGAATGTGGCGGGTTATTTATTATTCATGTCTATTTTGACAAGGGCATGTGCAGGTGGACTCTTTCATCTACAAAAAAGGTCAAGGGACCATACAAAATTCATTGTAGATGGAGAGCCCCTATAACATTTGGGGAGAACCCCATACATGAAAAAATGGCTATAAAGAAAAATTCATTGCAGACAAGATTGTTTTTGTTGAGAGGGTCTACCTGTATGTGAAACACAGTACTGTAGTACCATAATTATCAAGGACAACTGCCACTTGACATAAGATGAACAAATTTTGCTGTGGATCAAAAAAATTAGCTTTGACAAAGGAAACACAGAATCAGCCAGGGACAAATGCCAGGATTTCTCAGTAGTATCTCTACTTGAACTTTTACATATGCAGTATTTCAATTGTCCCAACAAGTTTTAAGTTTACAAGAATAACAAAGTAAAGAAGACACAAATATAGACAGCAGAAAAAACCTCTCATCAGCCAGCTCTTGATTTTTGGGCACATCACAACTGATCCCAATACTAGCTCAAGACACGTCAGCAATAAAAACTGAGTAACAATTTGGGAATTAAATTTTGTATATTACTTCATGTACTTGATCCAGTACTCTGGCTGGAGATGAGGCAATTTTCAGAGGCCTGGGATTGGCCAGAAAAGGTCAAGTCAAAGATGTCGTCGGGGACAGCAAACAAAAGTTCTCCAAGTTATTTTTCTGTTTTTCTGGGACTCTCTTATTCCCACCAGTTTTTGTCTCTGGGTGATATTTTCACCCAATTTACAGAGTGGCACACGGCAGGTGCCCCCCTTCCATGTGATGGCATCATAGAGCTGATGAAATGAACACTGATGTTTCAATGGAAACCACAGGCATAAATTTAACTTTTAATGAACAAAGCCTCGGCAGATTTGGTGTACTGTATGTATGGAAAAATAAAGACAAAATAGGATGCTCAGCTTACCTTGCACTTTCTGAACAAATAAGGCCTCGAGCAGGAATGATGCCAAAATGATGCACTTTTGCCAAACAAAAAGGGAATGAATTCTTGCTATTTTAGTACAGTAAAGTACGAGTATAAAAGTGATTTAATCTCACTATTTTTCTTTGTAGAAGTGCCGAAAATACATGTCTTGATCTTCCTTTTTTTTTTGCTGTTGAGTAACTTTTTTTCTCAATCTTCTTTCCCTCTCTGTTGGCGCCGAAGTCAGACTCTCCAGGTGTTGATAACATGCTACATAATACACTCGCCATTTTTATGTCATTGCTCTCGATTGTGTGCGTGTGTGTGTATGTGCAACATGTATAAAATAATAATCATAATAATAATAATAATGAAAAAAGAGGGAAACACAGGAGAGGAGAGAAAGGAAACACATGAGGCAGAGATCAAAGTCCAGAGTCACGGAATCACGCCCGAAGCCACACTTTCATCATCATCATCATCATCATCATCACGCTTTTCCCGCGAGGAAAAAAAAAAGAAAAAAAAATCAGCAGAATCTAAACTTGTGCAAGAAAAAATAGAAGCTGCAGCAGGTCATCCATATATATGTATATATAAAAACACATGTTATATAGGAATCAATAACAACGTGCCAAAACTGGTCTCTTCTTTCCTTTTAGTGTTATTCAAGCACAGCATAGATAGAAGAATTGCAGTAAACGTGTTACGCCAATCAGTTGAAGTGAATTAGCATCATCACAATATAACACTGTGCTGGTCGGTGGAAACACAGCAATAAGAAAAGAATTCGCATGATTTATTTCCGTTCCTTTTTTTTTTGCTGGATATTCCGCGAAAAGTGTCCGGAAATTTGTTTGGGACTCGAAAAATTTCACGAGAAAACTGCGCGTGACTTTTTTCTCATTTTTTTTCTCCATGACTTAAAGTAGGAAATGAGATTTTTAAAAATATGATGGGTTACTCGAGAGATTAATGCAATTAATTTTCATCCTTCAATTCTGCTTTCAAACTTACGTGACAGACGATATTTGCTGCCATCAGGTGATACTCCTTGTATGTATATGCGAATTCTGTGACATTCAGGAAGATTTTCCAAGTATGTCAGACTTCTTGTGGTTTATCTCTTTATTTGGGTGTATATTTCTGGATGGTTGAGGACGGGCAGAAATCTGCACAGAAGATTATTTATACCCAATTATTTGAAAATATTTCTAGGCCAAACGAGGGTGAAATTTAGTGAGGAGATGCAGAGATTTAATGTTGAATTCATCACTGCTGTCTTTACAGTGGAAATGAGGCTTACTTATTGAAGAAAAAAGAAAGCTGCCATGTTTGATGCTTTTCTCCCACAACTTCAAGTGCCCTTTGAATTTACACCTGTGACAGCCATCATCTCCAGAAGAAGAAAAAAACGTGTTTTGATTTTTACAAATCCCAAGTGTCATGTTAAGTGTTCACTGAAATACCAATGCTTTACGTGAGTTTCCCATGAAAGAACATAAATGAGCAAAGCACTTCTCCAATTTTTTCGTGTTGGTAGTTTTGAATTGCAATGAAATGAGCACATGTGTGTCTCATATCCGATATACTTTTTTTTTCAATGTGTATGCATTTTCGGTCAAGTTCAACGACATAATAGTGAGGCCATTGTTTCGAGTAAAATATGTGCAGGGATTCTCACATTTTAAATTGGAAAACCGAGTAAATTTTATTTCGAATCGAAATGCATGTGCATCAAGTGGGAAATATTTCTTTTTGAATCTCTTTGACCCTCATCTCAGCGAAATTTTCTTTGAGCAATTCTCGTCTGATGGGGATGCTTTAAACTTGAAAATTATATATACACAAGAACCCGTTATTGTGAGGAGGAGATTCTGGTCCTTTCTTAATGCTGCTCGCAATGAGGAATTATTGCTCAACTTTTCTGCATATACACGATACAGCAGTATTCTGGTTCTGTTGGTTTGAATCCGTATATTCTACTATTTAGGAAAGGCAACCAGTTTTTCTTGCTTTTTCATTCACGATTTGTGTATATTCTGCACTAGCAATTTTAGTGCAAACAACGAACGGATGCAGTGCAGTACTTCACTGCGAATATCTCGAAGTGTCTTCAATTTCGGTCTGTGCGAGTTATTCAATCGTGTGCTGTGAAAAGTGTAGGAAAAAAAGCTAAAAAACAAAAAAACACTTGCGTTTGTCGAATCATCATTGAACGCATTTAAACGGATTGGTCTGATAAGACTATACTTTGTTGAAGAAAGAAAAAAATACTTTCCGTTATTCAATTTGTATTTAAATTGAATGAAAAAAGAAGAATCACTCAGGAAATGTACTGCGTGTGAAAGCCGATTGATTCTTGTTCTGGTTCCTGTATGTATATTTCAGGATACATATCAAGTATACTGTGTACAGTACAGTATATGCATATCTTTGCCGTAGCTTATTGGAGAATAACTTCCGTGTTGACGATGATTTTTTTGCAATTTATTTAATTGAAATTCGGAAAATCGCGGGGATCAGAATTTTCTTGGATATTGCAATACGTTTTTTTTTTTTCAAAGTTGAGTTGATTACTCTTAACTTGCATTTTCTCACAAGCGGTAGGTTTTATCCTTTTTTTTGAATTGTGCTGCGCAGCTGCGAAACTGTGAAACGCACGCCAAAAAAAAAAAAGGGAGGGAGGGGCATGGTTAATTCGGGCTCGTCTTTTTGATGATGACGGCACCGAAAGGGCTTGATTGAATTTCCGCGAGACCATCCCTGCTGTCTTTCATTTTTTCTCTCCTTCTTTTGTTGAGTGAATATTGTGCTCTATTTTAGTTTTATTTTAATTTTGCTGGGGGTATAGGCGTATAGTGTAATGGTTATATGAAGGGCTCGCCTCTTTGTTCATATAGTGTTTTTTTGTTGTCTCTCTGCTGGTCTTCCCACGCGGCTGCTGTTGCCTGTCTTGGCATTTCCGTGTTTCCGCCTGTTATCTTATTTTTTAATTTTTTATTCTCACGATCGTGTTTTTGTATGACAACTATATACTTGCTGTGTTGAAGGAATACGTATATACGGTACGTGGCATGCCGGGGAATTTTTAAATTCCACGGCATCATGGAAGGGGAACGTTGAATTGAAACCAAAAATTATTATCATTACCGTATTAATATTTCCTTTATGAAGGAGGTTTAATTGAAGATACGTTTCAGTCGTTTTTTTAGCAGGATTTTTTTTTCGAGGGAAACGACATCGATGAGTTGGTGAAAGTGGGCATTTAATTTCATTTTTCCGGTATAAACAAAAAGAAGCGGATGTATATTTTTGGTGGTAATTACTAGGGAAATGCGATGACGTGAAAGACTTTTAGATTTAACGCCTATATTTTATGTGAAAAAAAAGAACATCATTTGAGGTAAACTTGACGATGCTCGTGGTATTGTTTGATGAACTACTAATTTCTGAATTTTCGCACAACGTATTGAGTAAATGACAAAAGTATTCTCAATGATAAGCGCGCAAATTTTCGATGACACACTTAGATCGACGGCGATTTTAAGAAGATTTTTTTGAAAGAATTGTAAAATAGATGTTCAGGAAATGTCATGATTCTCTGACATCATGTGATATGGCAAATTGAACAAATTTTCTTTAAAAAAAAAACTGTATCCCAAATTAAAATACTGTAAACACAAAGGTTTTACGCAGAAATCATTGGGAATTTTTTGGAGATTCAACTGCAGATTGAAAAATGTAGCATTCGTTATCGTAATACTTTTTGATATGCATTTCAAAACTTATTGAAACGCAGTCGCATTATTGGAAAGTGTTTCGAAACCAAATTTTGCGTTTAATTACGATGCTGTACTTGATTTGAAGGAAAGGTTCCGTATATGCATAAGTTTGGTCATCATTTTCTATTCAAATTGGGGTTTCTCATGTGCCATATAAAAATCATACAATGTAATAAAAACAATTTCATCAGACAAATTAAGAAAATAAATATTTTCAAGATAGAAATATTGGAACCTGTTTACTTGCCTGGAATTGGTTTTCAACATTTTTAAAAAATGAAATCAACAGTGAGGAAAAAAGTCTGGGCCACCCCTATATAGAATTGACTCTTTTTTCTTCTATGATATATGCATGTACAGTACTGTACAATCAAGTGTAAATGTCACAGAGCGGTCAAGAACAGGGCATTTTATACGCATGACTAGGCTTTTCCCGCCAATTTGCAATCTCCACTTTTTTTTAAATTTTCAATTCAATCAACGCACCAATAGACGTACAAGGGAAATAAGGACAACACTTATTTTCCCGTATACAGTATATATACCCCTTTATTCTCGCATATACACTGGTATTCTTTAAATGCCATACCTTTTTTTAGTCCCGTCTATGCACGCACCACTCGTATTTATCTTTTTTTTTCGGATGTACTGTAATTGATATGAAAGAATGTAAGAGAAGCAACTTGCTGGGCGTGTGATGGTGTTGTACTGTACGTTACTCGACGAGGGAATAGAAAATGTTGTCCAAATATGGACACATCCTGCGCTGCCTCGACCGTCCCATCCCTCGTCTGCTGTGCATATACGTATATATATGCTGTATATTCGATGATGCTGTGTGGTGTATATTCATGTACAAAGGAGACTTGAACGTAGATGCAGAGGACGGACGTGGGCGTTTTTTCGGTGCGAAGGCCGCAGGCCGTGAACTCACTCGCCTCAGCATGCGTATCAGTCAGTTTCACATCTCCAAATTCCCATTTTATTTGTAATTATTTTTTAAATAAAATCTTTAATTTCACTTTGCTCCTCGCCCTTTCTTCATTCCATTCCATTCCGACCCATGATTCATTTTTGTTCGGTACTGTAATCGCCCCGAAACGATGTTATACATGTAAGGAGACGAGTCAGAGTCGTGCGACATCTGTGCGCGTCAAAGAGAACTTTGGTTGGCGGATTGTTTTCTGAAAAAGGGGGCAGGTGAGGCGTCCTGGCAAACAGTATACAGTACTGTACTGTGTCAAGTTGCTAAGCTTATTAAAAGCAGGTGTTCCGCAATAATCTCTTTTGATTTGAGTGACCTCGGTTAATGGACTCGATCCCGTCTCCGGTGTGCACTGTACAGTTGCTGCTGATGGAAGACCATCATCCGGAGATTATATGCTGTAATGTAAACCTAAATGTGTAGAATCGGCAGTCTGCTCCAAGTCCAAATATGCAGTATTTTTCTCATGCTGTAGTGAAACAAATTTGAAATGAAAAACTGTTTTTGAAAACCCCCCACATTGTCAAAAAGTAACTTAATTGAGAGTAGAATGATGCTGTATAGCTTTTAATAGAGTTGAAAGATACGGTGTGCGCGGCATCATCAGCTGAAAGGAAAAGGGTATCTTATTGAAAAGTCCATTATCCGAATCAGAGTGTCCAGCATCCAAGGCAGACGAACGTTTATACTACGTGTGGCCTTCGGGGGTCACGAGACCATCAGATTCAGTTTCATATTACAGTAATAATCAGTCAATTGAAATACGTTACCTGATCGTATTAATATCCGTATATAGTCTCGTCGGTCGTCCAGCAGCATATATGAATGGAGACTGCATTTTTTCTATTTTTATTGAAAAATGTCGATATGTTTCTCTGTCCCTCTGCGCTCGGTCTTTTCAAGAACAAGTTTTCTAATATTTTTTATCTTTTCTTTAATCGGCATTTTCTTTCTGTCTCTCTCTGCCTGTGTGCTGTAAATTATTTTTATTTTTTTATTTTTAAATATTTATCTGATGTGGATTATTACCGAGCAGGGAGTGGCTGCTGATGGGAATGTTTTTCGCATGGCTCTGCTCCTGGCATGCCTCCGGTTTTTTATATCTCGCTTCCTGATGGGCGTTGTTCCAGGTTTATTGTCCACCCATATATACGAGCTTATTGTGCTGGACTTGACTTGACTGACCTGCGGTGTGTACTGTACTTTATAAACTGTACTGTACTGTACTGTACGTGGTGCTGGTGCGTGATGTCAAGGGAGGAAGAAAGAAAGAGACACATGCACCGCATACATGCAGAGAGAGAGAGAAAAAAAAAAATATATATATATATAAGCAGCAATAAGGGGGGCGCCATGACAGGTACAAAGAGCTCCATCCATAGCTCTGATGGGACTGCCCCGAAAAGGAACTCGGCGTTGGTAAAACTGTATTAATTATAAATGAACATCATTAAATGTGTGTCATTTTGAGAGAGAAAAATTAAGCCCCGAATAATATTACCTGTGATGCTGATACGTGTATAGGAAAAGGGTTGATTTTTAAGGGCAAATACAGTATGTACTTGCATTGATGAAAAAACTTTTTTTTTTGTGGACCCGATAGTTATATAAATGGATGCTGATAAATCCGCCGACTCGTTCGAGAACATGGTGTATTATTTGAGAAAAGGAAAGTCTTGTATATAGACACATCATGGACTCGCTCTGCTGCTTTTAATTATTGTATTTCTGGCTTTCATTATTTTTGCCAATAACTGCTGTTGTTCCCTTATTTATTCCAAATAATAAATGGGAAACGGGGAATAACAAGGCAAGAAACATATTGGCCTGTTTAATCTCGGCGGCGGCAATAATAAAGTTGATGGAAAACACTTGGTCGCAAAGGGAAAATACAAACTAACTCAAACTTCCGCCGCCCTTTTTACGAAGGCAAAGGGTCCCTTTACACACACTCCTTTCACCCTTTGGTGAGCCCTAAAGTGTCCACGACGACGAGTTGCAAGATAACAAATGCTTGATTTTTTTTTTTTTTTTTTTGGAAAGGAGGAAAAATTTCGTCAGTGTGAAAATTCGCACGTGCGCAGTTATTGGATTCGCAGTCGTGAATGAAAGAACCGCGTCTGATATACGACAGGTGTCGCCTCTTTGCCGAATTTCCTACTTCATCATCGCTACGCAATAATCCTTTTTTTTTGTGGTTTTTATCTGGTTTAATTTTGCTCGTCTTTTCGAAAGACTTGAAAGCATTCGAAGTAAATGTGATGTTTCGAGTATAATTTAACTAACGTATGTACCGAAAAAAAAAACACGAGCAGGTCAGATGAATTCCCCAGCAGTATAACTTGACCTTTTAAAATTCCAGATGTCGCTCTGCCTCTGCATCTGAGGAAGATATATTCTGTTGACCTTGCAATATTCTCCTTGTCCCTCCATCTTTCCATTTTCATTCAGGTGCCAATTCCTTTTTTTTTTCTTTTGAAGGATCGACGTGTCTATATATCCTAAAATAAGTTCTGTATCTTGAAAAAGCAGGAAGCCCTCGATTCGCAAAACATGAATTGGATTTTGGAGAGCAGGAAGTGTTTGCTGGTCGCCGGGTTTGCATCTGCTGCATTCTTTTTTGGTTCCATTTTTGAATAGTTTCATGATGTCCTTTATTTTTTTATTCCAACGATTGAAGAATGAACAAGTGTGTCATCGTGCACACACACACGAATGCAGACAGCGACAGAGAGAACTATATTAATGCAATCTTTGTTTGGTTTTCTCGTCATCGCTTATCGGTGGGTCGTAAAGCATATCAGAGGGGATGAAGAATTGGAAAAAAGAATAAGAAATAAAATAAAACCGGCAGCCTTTCATAAAATTCGTGTCGCTATTCAATTGTTTTGAAAGCCATTTCCGTCAACTGTTTCTCATGCCCTCTGTATTTATATACACTCGTATTTCAGCCTGGTGTATGGAATTTTAATCTTAATTCTTTACGGAGTTTTCCGAAAGAAAATAAGTAATGGGCGTATGCTATTACATCAGAGTATTTGAATTTTTTAAATTGGCAATTCAATAATGTAGGTTTTTTAGGTTTATATAATGTAAACATTTATACTAACAAAGCGATTTGTACAGTCTCTGTGATGATTAGAACTTTAAATTTCTGGCCTTATTAATTCCTTTTCTGAATGTACAATATATACGGTATATATAGTTAATTTCTATATGTGAGGTTAACCGGTCACGCGTTGAAACAAAGTGAGAAAAACGTTATGTTAAACACATGTTCTTAAGTCTTTTATTTCCAAAACGGGTTTTTAAAATGTTCAAAGTGTGAAAAGCGTTGCTTGAAAAGTATTTGATCTTTTCTGACTGCTGTATAGGTTTCTTGCTGACTGTCTTGACTCTTCTCTCTGGCCTCTTTTTATATCTATCTTTTCTCTTGAGAGATATTGAGAGTAGAGTACAGTATATATGAGTTACACTGGACACAGCTGTTGATGTTTATAGTTGTTTGAAATCAGTCTCCCTTTTTTGAATCATATACCTAACAAATTCGAACTTCCATACGTTTGTTGGTTCTCAGATTCTACTCAAAAAACCTTTTTACTGCTTTGTTTGTTTGTTTGTGTCCTTCATGAGAAAAGGAAAGCCATCTGATGGAGGTCATAAACTTTGAAACTTGCCTGTTTGATGGGCCATTTGTCTTTTAGCCTCTTTTTTTTTGGCAAGATTGCCCGTTTCTTGATGGCTTTAATTTATCCATTTCTTTTTAATGTGCCAATTTCTGCTGGCGCACCCCAATTAAATATTGGTATTGAGTTTGGTGAGGGTATTTTGAATTTCAGTTTTTCTCAAGAAACAGGTTTTCCACTTGGAGGAATAATTGCAAATTCAAAAATTTGAAGTTTGAATTTTAGAAAAAAAAAATCAAGTATCGGAATTTTCGGTTGGAGAAAGGAAACTTTTACAAATTGAACTTTCTTTCCATGTTCCCACATGTCAAGGGCGTGCATGGGTCAGCAGAAAAGCTGCATTTTTGAAACCTGCTCCATTTAGCAAATATTTTCGAAAAATTCACGGGAAAATTCCTGAATCCAAGTACAGTACAGTACTGTACACTATTCGCAATATTGCTGCTGAAAGGTGATATCAATAAATGGCATCTTTCCTCGCGCCTTTATCGTTTTTTTTTTCTTTCTTCTTTTCTTTCGAAGGCTGATAACGGAAATTCAGATAAGCACTTTAGATAATGCAAAAGGAAAAATTGAATGGATTTCAATTTGTTTCTCTTTTCCCCCTCATCAAACCTGCTGATATGCAGTTTGAAAATAACGATCGACTTTTTTTTTCGCAACCTGGTATTATCGCGAAAATTACTCGTAGCGTCATTCGATTCGATTTTGCAGTGAGAAAAAAAAAAACTTGACAATGATTGAAATTAAATGTGCCGAGTCAGGCTCAGAACTTGTGGAGTGACCCCTGATGGATGTGTGGGAAAAATCGAATCGTTGACGTGGTCGACGTCATTGGGAGCATCGTCAGTGTCGCGGCTTCTCTCGACCCGACAGCGTCGTCGTCGTCGTCGACAACAACATTTTTCTCGTACTGCTGCCTATATAGAACAAATAAAATAAAATTAAATTGAAAATCGCGATACAGTGTCAGATGAAGCAGTGATCAATGCTTGGCCCATCATCATCATCGTTTGGGCTGCGTGCAAAAAGAGAGCCATCAATCAATCAATCAATCAATCAATCAAGTGTTTTCCTCGCTGTCGTCTGATGCTCTTATTCGGATTCCGGGGCTGGAAGCATAATTAATCAAATGGCTCATTAATTCGAATAAATTGCGGAAAATATTTTGACTCCCGCCGACCGTCTATATAGTCGATGACGATGATGAGTGGTGTTTCTGTATATATTTTTTCTTTCTCTTTCTCTATATGTCCAACAAAAAAAAAAAAGTGCATATCGTCAACAAAAAAAAAGTCCCGGGATTTTCTGTGTGTGCGTGTGTCCAGTACGAGTATTTCGTTGGTTTGGTGTTTTTCTGGCTCATTGCGGAAGTGCTGGTGGACACATACATACATACATACATATACGATTCATGCATGGAAGTGATTCCGGAAGAGAAGGGATTTTCCCTCAAGAAAGTGTGGAATTCCCGACCGGGACGACGTCAGTCCGTGACTGCGAGATTTTATGTGCATTTCAAATCTCCCGACGATGTGATGAAGGAGCACGAGCAGGCATCGTTGCCAAGGGCGATGAGCGAGACGAGGTTGCAGCGCAGAGCCAGGTGTCGCTCCTTGTCATATACTGTACTCTGAAACTGCTCCCGAATGGGGAAATAGGTGCACACTGGGGATATGTTTGTTTAATTCTACACAGTGACCCTACTGCTGTGCACCTCAAGTGTACCGAAGTTCTTCTCTTATCCCCAATGTGCACCAATCGTGCTGTGTTCACACCAGGATTACTCAGGGTCACATTTGTGAACAAATAAGTTACGCCAAGGTTACACAGTTGGTGCATTTGTGTGATACTCCTGTTATTTCACATTTGTGCACCAAGTGTAGCCCTATCTGGAATGGTTGAAAAATTTCCCCTACAGAGGAGTGCACACTTGTAACCCCAGAATATCGCATATATGCACCAGTTGTGACCCTGTTGTGCACCTACTACTGTGGGGTCACAGCAAAAAATAGCTCCCCACTGGGGATGTATAACCAGCATTTGTATGTACTGCATGTAGTCTGTCTTTTTCTGTTGCATGTTATCTATGATTTCTTTGAGGCCAGTCTCTTATTGAACCAGCCCTTCAATATACAGTGCAGTACTTCAAGTACCATATATGGCTGTGTCAACTGCATCTATACTGCTGGTTGTCTAGCAGATGTCGCTCTTATGCATGAACTCATCATAATAGGATGACTACATATAAATTGTAAAGGTATAGGATTATTTAGTCTGCAGTTTCTGGAAAGTTATGAAACACCCTGTATGCTGTATTTCTTGTATACCCGGTTCAAAAAATGATTCCATAACACATTCATGCTGTTGGAGATTGTTTCTGAGGTGGATGAGCTTCAGAGTTCCAGGTGTCGCTCTCTGATGCTGATTTCACTTATATTAGGATCATGTGTGGGTAAGCACTATATAAGCAGGGCTCTTTTACATTTACGTTGGTTTGCATGCTGTATTTTTATGGTTGAAATTTTTATTCATTTTTTAAAGTTGAACCATTCTTGCATCTGAATACATTTATAGACTAGATTTTTTAAAAATCTATGTGCAATGGTTTTCATAATTCTTTCTGATTGTACAAGATTGATTTTCAGAGTATAACATGTGATACAGCAGAGATGTTTCTTGCACATTTAGTTGACAGCATGAATGACGGTTTATATGATATTGCAGCAGTGTTTACATTTTTACAAAATTCTCACGCCAGATGTCGCTGTTATTGAGACTATGAAATTTCAAGTTTGGACGAGGGCCTCTAATATAGAATCACTCAATCAGTACAGCAGTACTGTATAATGCTGGTCCTATTTTGTCCTCCTATACTAGTACCTGTTAATATACGGTTGCAATCAAGTACATCTTTCGAGGTGCTTTATTCTCGGTACTTTTTTGATTTCTGGAAAGATTGCGTCATCTGGAATCGGAACGATGCTGATTATTAAATTCGTTAATTGGCTCGGGCCTGTTGGCCTTATATTGACTCGGGTCTTTTAGGGAAGTGAACCCCGATATTGCTGGATGTGCCACACCTCCATATTTCTCGTACATCTTTGTTGTTGTTACGAAAGTGCGAAGGCACCGAACCCTCTTATTTTCATTTTTTTAAATTCACTTCGGTGTCTCCGAAGTAAAAGAAAAGTACTTGGCTATCGATGGCCCCCCATTTATTAAAAAAATGCATCATTAGGAAACAAATAGAGTGAGATCATTTTGCGAGGGACTCGTGGAGAAGTGTTCAATCATTTTTAAACTGTCAAGTATTTTGCATATACAGTAATTTGTGCACATGCTTTTTTTGAAATGTAAAATGAAAGGACGCGTATACTGTACATATGCTAAATTTTGAATTTCGACGTCCTTTCTGACATTGATGGTTTGTTACGCGATGATTGCAGTACTTTTCAATCAAGGTACTGTATTTCTAGTTTCAGGAAAAAAGGAGATATTATGTATTCAGCTGCACGGTATCTCTGTTTTTCTTTTAAAGAATAATTGTACTGAATTTCAAACTGTAAAATCTCGTCTTCCGTTTCCTGACCTTGAAAAGTCATGAAATTGCCCACCTGTCTGCCCATGATTGTGTGATTTCACCTGCTGGCTGTGCACACAATGTTATGCCGGTCCGATAATATTCAATATTATTGCTCAAATGAAATTTCGCTTTTCCATAAGTGAAGTTGTCTGAGTTCCAGGTCTTTGTTTCAGCAAATAAATCTGCTGGAACATTGGGCAGAGTTATGGACAAGTAGTACCAGAGTAATGATTTATGAACCATAGAATTTTTAATTTAGCTGTGCATTTAATCATTTTTTCCGCGTTATTAAATTTGCATGAGCTTAGGCTTCTCAATTTCCAAAAATGCAGTGTGACGTCATGTCAAAATGAAATAAAATAATGCCATATATTTTTTGGCAGGGAAAAATTGAAGAAAGGGCTTAATGTATCTTTCAACATGTTTCCTTATATTTAAAAAAAGAGGTGGATATAATATGGTGCAGAATGTGGAATGGAGAAAGCATATGAAAAAATCATTTATATGAGTCTCATGACTTATTCAACATTCAAAAGTTGATAAATTCATTGCATTTCCATAAATGTCGAACTTATTGATTGGAAAGTGGATTCAAGCAGCTTTATATGCTAATATATTTAAGCTTTATACTTGTGGTGCACCCAGTAAATGGATTAACAGAAAGTGTTTCAGGACTATTAAACAACTTTCCTTCATCTTGCCTATGCAATAATTCTAAGATATTTCAAGAGGTCACCTGCGCTGATGATTCACCACCAAGAATTCAGTTTCAATTTTTAAATCGCGGCTGATGGCAGGAATTTTGGCAGTCAGAGATTCGCAAAGTACACATTCTTTGAAAGCGTGCTTGAAATTCAAAAAAAGCTCAGCCTCAGATGAGTCATGATTCTTGATATACAATATTTTGGGGAAAACCATTTTTTTTCCCCGCCAGCTGCTGCTGTTGTGTTGTGTGCTGTAGCTGGGAAGGAAGCTATATGTTAGATAACAGCTTATCACTGCTGGAAGTGGGAAATTCCCTCGATACTCTTCCACATACACATACACAGATACTTTTATGAGCTTTTGTGACACATATTCCCAGCAGGTTCTCGATTTTTGCCCATCGGATTAAATCACCCTCGCCAAAACTATAGCCTGATGGATTTGATAATTTATTTTGCTTCGTACTACAGTATTTATTCGACAGCTCTCGAATATACAGTATTTATGAATGAATAGAACGCTTTATTTGCCGCTTTTCAGAGCTCACAAAGTTCAATCAAGATTTCCACAACCAAAGCACACTTCAGGGCAGAAAAGCACAAATTGATAAGAAAATACAATCCATGAAATACAACTGGACATCTGACATGTATATGCATACACCCATTCAGTCAGTATTCATTAAAGGCAGATACAGTACATCAATAATATGAGATACATGCAATAAATGAAATGTTCTTGTTCTCATTTTTATGCATGTAATTTACTTGTGCAGTTTGCTGCTGCCTTGGCGGAAAGGCGTGGACTCGGGATTTCAGTCTACAACTTCATTCCCCGCGCCGCAACCGCAGCGACACCTAGATGAAGAGACTCCCGCGCATGCAGATGTCATCGCTCCCAGCATCAGCAGGTCGCCGAGACGCATCTTGCCGAGTTCTAGTGCAGCAGCAGTTCGGGAACATGCAGGCACTACCATCAGGGCACCGACCCCCTATGCCATTCCTGTACCACTGGTAATACGCCTATACATCATATACAGTATATAGGCAAACATTTGATGGAATTTGAATGAGGAATAGATACGAGGGTTGTAGAAAAGAGTCAAATCAATCAGGAATTTGGTTTTGTACTGTACTGTATATCTTTGCACAGGATTTGCAGAAGGACATGCTGGCAATGAGTCCTGATGATGATGATGATGATGATGCTGTTGATGCCGATGAGTCCTCTGCAGCATCAGTGATGAAAGTTGGTCACGTGGTGACACAGCGCCATCTGCCTGGTTCTTTGCAGCCTCACCGCCCTGCGCCTCCACCTCCGACCACCAGTGGTCAGCACTTGTTGAATAAGGGAGCCACCACGAATACCCGGTGATTAATCTTTTACTGATGCTGTATTCAGTATACCCGAATTTCGAGATTTAATCGAAGTGGTATGATGAGTTCTCAATTTATTCACCCTTGCTCATACTGCAGACCCAAGTCAGCTGTGTACCAGACTGGTGCGACATCTGGTGCAGTGGTTGTTGTGACTGCCCTGACTGCGGGGGCCATTGCCGGGAATAATCAGGCCTTAGGGGCAAGACTCGCATGTGCTGGCCCTCAGTATCAACAGTCTGAGTCAGAATTCAACTCACGGAATCGTCTTCATCATCATCATTATAATGATACTCTTCAGAATCAGCAAGGTCGGCAACCACACCAAGAAACCAGCAGCAATGGATTCCTCAAAGGTCTGATTTTTGTACACTTTGGGTTTTATCAAATTCAAGAGGTGCAAGGTTTACTAAACCAAATCGATCATTTTTATTACGATTTATTTACTGTAGTAGGTTTTTTGTTGGTGTATGGATGTGCACAAAAATTGTAAAAAAGTTTCCACTTGTGCTTTCTTCAAAATTCAGGATATAGAAACAACAGGTATTATTTGCTGTGTATGTGCAGTGATGTGTTATATTTTTCGAATTTCAAGAATATGACCCCCTTGAAGAAATCTCGAAAGATAGGAATATTTCTTGTGCTATGATTCAAAGAAGTGCACTTGAAGCATCTCTTTTATTTATTGTTGCTACTTGCGTCAGACAAGATTATCTTGAGATGAGCCAGCACTCCCCCATCATTTGCTTGATTCTCCTATAATTAATTAATTTCCTTCTCATGACTCTGTTTGAAAGCTTCAGTATAGCCTTATCAGAGATTTTAAAAGTAATAGACTGAATAAGAGACATCAGACACTCCGAGATAGATCCCCACTCCATTAAGGAATCATCAGCAGCAGTCTCATATGACTGAGTGAGTGACATCTGGAAAGCTTTTGCAAAACATGTTGTCGGGGATTCATTCTGTCAACTAAAATGCCTTAATTCCTTTATGTTGCATGATGATATAAATGATATACTAACTTGTTGTTGTCGAAATGTATTTCCAAATACTGTAGGTCCAGCTTCTGCAGATCAAACTGAGGGCACTCTTTTGCAAAAGTTCAAGAAGACTTTCTCCTGGAGGTTTTCCAATTCCAACAACAATGTTCCACCGTCTGGACGCCAGTCGAACTCCAGGAGGCGGTTTTCTGGTCCCACTTCTTTGCCTCACACCAACTGTGCTTGTCATCATCATCATCATCATCAGCAGCAGCAGCAACAACAAGGGACCAATGTTGAAGTGTGTCCAGCTGCAGTTGCTGCTGCTGCAAAGCATTCAACATCATCATCAACAGGAGATGCTGCTGAAGACCAGCAGCAGCAGCAGCAACAACAGCAAGGGTTTTCGCAGGCCATGACAATGCACAGATCTGCTTCCTGCGACTACAACAACCCCACCTGGTGCGCTACTTGATCTCTGGCAGATGCTCTGAATCTGCGTTCTCGCACTAGATGTCACCCGATTTTAAATTTATTTCCTGTATCACGTGCAGTCCATGGGATTCTACGAATAGGACTGATTGGCGTCGCTGCTCGTCATCAGCAGCAGCAGGATGTGCAAATGCAGCATTTGACGACGAGGTTCAACATCGTCGCCAGCAGCAGCAGCAACAATCGACATCAATTAGTGCCTTGAGTAAGAGGCTGAGTGGAGACAGCGGCATCATGATGATGTGCGACGCTGTGCCAACTGACGTTCAGGTGCGTCCTCTCAGTACCAAGTCTGTATAGCATTCAGTTGGTTCTCGGCCTTATAGAGGTCGCTCCAATGAATGGGCGTCTATATATCCATCAGTAAATTTAGTACAGTACTGGACTTGTTCTTATCGTCATTCTTTCGTTCATCATCGTATCTATATGCAGGCAAAGAATCGACAGAGTCAGTCGACTTTGACTGGAGCGTATTCGTTGGCCAACAACAACAACAACAACAAGTGTGTTTCTGGGCTCTGTCAGCATGCTGCTGACCACCATCTTTGCTCGAGGGTGAGTCATGTAGGACCCAAAATTGACCCTTTTCGACGATCGACCCATCAAATTATTACACCCTATATATATATATTGTACTGTACATTGTTGAGCACAGTACAGCAGTAGTACTGTGAGGATTCATCGCCCAAACAATACTGATGTAATGTACCCGCCTGATCCTTCTCTGTCTATTTATGCAGTACTGTACTGTATAAATAGCACATGAAATGACGTTGATTATATAACGGGGGAAGATGAGTGACGAAAGACAGAGTCATATGATGGTGTTTTTTAATCCGTCTCTCTGTCTCTCTCTCTCTCTCTCTCTCTCTCTCTCTCTCTCCCCCTGTCTCTCTTTTTCTTCAGCCATTGAAGCGTGGGAAAGTGAGATAAAATCTTGGTTTTCCAAAGTGTGAGAAATCAAGGCTCTTTGACTCTTTTCTTCAAATACGCCACATTCATACTGTATCACCAATTCACTATACCACCACTTTTCAATCGCGGTTTTCGGAACGAGCTATAATAATAGTGTGACCCCCTCCCACAAATCAGTTGTGATTATATAAATATGTATATATAACTTTTGCCCTTGTCCGAAAAACTCTTGTTGGCGTTGAAAATAATATAATGGGGTTATGTATACTCTGACAATTTGTTTGGAAAATGAGGAAAAAACAATTATAAGTAGTGTACTCAACTGTGTATGTGTGGATATTTTCTTGATAGTTCTTCTTTTGATCCAAGAAAATTAAGAGTAACAGAATGAGTTTCTTTATGTATAATCCCCTTATATGTGCAAACAGAATACGATGTCCTTTTTTGTCGCATGCATCTCAAATGAGCTTGAGAAATATTTTTTTCAAGCATGGTTCATGTGTTTTGTACATGCAGTATTGATAATGAATCTCAGACATTCAACTTTGAAATTAGAGCTGTAATTGGATATTGAAAGAAGACCATAGTGGATGAAATTACACTCCATTTCAGCACACATTGGGTGCAGACAATCCAAGAAATGCAACCAAAATGTTGAAAGAATTGAATTAATTCTTTTAATGGACCATGTCCACAAATTTGTTCACCAATTAGATATGATATGTATATGCTGATGTAAAAATGGGTACAGCATTCAATTGAAAAAATTCTGCAGAGAACCATGACCATCAAATGCCATATTTTATTTAAAGATTCAACATCCCCCCCCCCCATTACTTTGACTCGTTATTCTTGGTTGGAAAACTCATTCTAACAATATGTACCATCTATCACCTGTGAAGAAAAGATTCAAGCATCTGCTTCACCATATAGTAAAGGCTGCAATACAGTAATTTCAATGCCCAAGAAAGATTACAGTACTGTACTTTACAGGTATTTATATTTAAAAAGTCAGAGGAAATTGTACCCTTGACAGCAGCAGTTTGAAAAAGTAGGACAGCCTGAGTTGCGCCATCATGCAAGAAGAAAAAGAAAAAAAAAGGACTGTCCAAGGTTGGGAAGAAGTAAAAAAAAAAGAGAGAAAGAGAAAAGGAAACGTTTGCTAACCTTTTGCATATTTATATAGTATACAGTATGTATGAATCTTGAGTGACTCGTGTGCTATATGCAGGTGTGTGTGTGTTTGTTTGTCTTTCTTTTATGCACAAATAACACCAGCCACGCGCTGTAATTCCTGTTCTAACAATAATGAACAAAAGCAGCGCATTGCAATAAAAAAGGGGGAAAAAAAAGAAAGAGAGAAAATAAACCTCTGTGCCCAGCATAAGACTCTGTTAACAATCAAGTCAAGTACAGAAGCGCAGAGTCTATATGGTCGAGTATATTAGTATCAAGTTAGTCTCTGCAGTAGTACATGGCTGGATGGCTGACTGACTGACACAAGTCGCCCAGCAGACAGCAGCAGCAGCAGCAGTCACTCCCATCTCTCTGCGTTCTTTCCCTCCCTCCCTCCCTCCCTCCCTCACTTTCCTTATTCTTCTTCTCCTCCAGTGGTACATTGGTGGGAATAAGGTTAGACTCTTACTTAGACGTCCGCTGTCAACTTATTCCTGCTGTTATTGCTGGTGCTCGCAGGCATATTCTTGTTCTCTCTCTCACTCACTCAGGCATTTTATTATTTTGCAAGCACTTGCCTTCTCTCATTGCGTTTTCCACAACTTTTCATTCTGCTGTAAAAAAAAAAAAAAAAAAAAAAAGAAAGAGGAGAGAGAGACTCTCTGTGAACTATATAGTAAATCCTGATGCACTGTGCATAAATATGCATAATGTGGATTTATATACGGTATATTTTTCGTGGAACCATCAGTGTGGAAGTATACCTGATGCGGTGATGTGAATATTCAGTGATAAGTGAAGTGATTGATTCATTCATACTGCCAGAGTCTTTAGTTTCGGCGGGAATAATAAGACGTGGGATACCTTTCATTCATCTTTACTTGTATTGTTTAATATCTTGATTCACTGTTGATGCGTTATTGCATATACCGTATATATTGTATACAAATACAATACGAGTGATGTGTCATCGTGATACTTTTCGGATTGAGGGGGGAAAAAAGGATATTTCATAGAATAATTAGCTGGCTGACATCGTCTGCGTGTATATACAGTACTGAATATATACAGTATGGAAAAATGCAGTACATGCGTATATATACATAGTCCGCATGTACGGTACTGCTGTACAGTATGCATACATATACTGTATATACAGTACAAGATGAAGCAGAGTGGACTGCGTTTCGTTGGTTATAATATATTATATACGCATGCTGCTGCTGCTGGCGGATGGCTTCGAGATAAGGACGACGACGCAGACCGGGTCAGGACACCAGCATGCAGCATCACATGTGCTGGGTTGACACGTGCTGAGTCACTGTCACGGTCACGTCATCGCGTTTCTTTCTTTCTTTCTTTTATTTCTTTGTTTGATACAGCAGTGCATCAGATCCAACAGTGTACGATAAGCATAAACAGAGTACACCAGTACATCAGACCACATCACATCACATGCGAAGCTGTAAAATGCCAATAAGAGTGATGCTGTATTTTATCTCATCCCTGTTTTGTTTTTCCTTCTTCCTTTGTTTGCTTATAAAGTCAATTGGAGAAATGTCTTGACTCATACTGGTCTTCAGTGGCTAAAAGAATAATGCGGAATATGCTGGGCAACTTTTCTGGCGTATGACAGCAAAAAAAAAAAAGTAGGAAGTGTTTGAAATAAAGGGCTTTTCACGTCAATCGATTCATACCGCGTGTATATAGATTGTGCTCAAGGAAAAATTCTCGTGAGTTATATTGATGAACACTATATAATTTCATTCGAGAACGTGATGCTCATGTTTCGCATCACTGTGAGAAATTTGTGCGCAAAAAGCACCAGCAGCAGCCTGGTCTTTGTGATGTGATGTGATGTGATGAGGATGACGCCCTTTAAAAAATGTGAGAGAGAGAGAGAATTTTGTTGTCCTCTTGCAGAAACTTGAGTTCTCCCCCATCAGGTTATAATTTTGTTGATTAAATATGCATATACAGTATATTAGGAATGAATATTGAAAACTTGAATTTATTTCCATATTATCCACTCAGCTGCTGCACATGCAGTGATGGAGGGTTTTTTCCCTTTCCTTTTCTCTTCTTTCTATTTTGGTTTGACCAACAAGCATTGAGAAGGCAAAAATGAAATATTCACATCGCATTCCGGCGGTTGTTGTGTTTGAGCAAGTAGAGAATTTCATTTGTTTGCTCTTTCGCCAGCTGGTGCTGCTGCCTCTTTTGTTTGCCTTATTTATTGCAGCCCACTCGTCGTCGTGTGTGCATCATGCAGCATGGGCAACAGTTTCCAATACTACTTTAATACTGTATATATATACTGTATATATACCGTATATACTCGACTTATTGCTCCTTCTTTTTCTTGGCCGAAATCAATTTTGACGCTGGTTTATTCGTATTTCTTTCTTTCTTTCTTTCTTTCCTTTTTCTCGAACTGCTCTGATGATGTGATGGACTCATAAATTCGTCGAGGTGCCTGTGAGAAACTGATCCTGCTGACGGAAATAACAGAGAATATTCGTGTACGCGTATATACAGCAGTATATTTCATAAAGCTATATATATGTAGAAATGGGGGGAAAAAATATCACACTTCCTGCTGCTGGGCGCGGGTTTGTTTTCGTCCTCGTCTATGTGGACTTATATTCCTGACATGTGTATAAATACAGTACAGTACCAGTCTATACGCGGTATATCCACAGTACAGTACTGTATTTTCTTCCTGCCTCCCCATCAATACTGTAATAAGTCTTCATCTGTACTGCTGTACTGCAGTTCCCTCTCTCTCTCTCTCTCTTTCTCTCTTGCCGAATATATACCCGCGGCATCGAGAGAAAAAATAAGAACGTTTTCAACGAGTAAATATAGCCGGGGGTTTTGTGTGTTCCTTATTAACGTGTTTTTCACGAGGATTCCTACACGGTATACGTACTATACTGTGCTGTGCTGTATTTGCAGCAGCAGCAGGAGGAAGTAGTGCAACAGGTGATGCTGGGAGCAGCGGCCTCTAGCGGCAGTTGCGCGACTGTGTCTCGTCAGTGTTTCAACCAAGCGCGAGGAGATGTCGCAGACGCGGATGGCAGTGACGCGGTTTTGCAGCGTGTCCCGGCGGCGGCGGCGGCGACGGCGACGGCGGTGTTTCCGAGACTGATGTTGCTGAGTAACACACTGCCTCGTCCAGCTGGAGGCGATCCGACGACTGCAGAGACTCGGAATCGTGTCTATGCGAAAAACAAGGACTCGAAACGAAGGTACTGATGCATAATATATTTTTTTTTAAATGCTAAATGAGACAATTTACGATATATATATGTATGTTGGGTGTCCCGTAAAGGTTCCAACAAAGAAACGGTCCGTCTCAGCAGCATCCAACTCCGATGGCTGAACTTGTGCTGCCATCTGTGAACCCGTTGTTGTGGCGGTCATCCAGTCAGCCCTCGGACCTGAATGTGTCTCAAGTCGTGTCTTCGTCGGTGCATCCTTCAGTCGTTGGTGGGTATCTCTGATGTCCTCCACACCCCCTACCCCTACCTTTTTCTTTTCTTCATTTCTTATTCTTAATTGCGAGAATAAAAAAAAAAAGAATCTCGTGATTCAGTGACGATTCAGTGGGCCAAATTTTTTTTTAAATGTCCAGTAAAGGAAAGGATAAACGCCACTTCTTTTACTACATTTTAGAGCATAAATTCGCTAAAACAGAGCGTTTCGGAAATAAAATAAGAACTTCCATGTCAACGAATATCCGTTAAAACGAATTTAAAATAAAATTGTGGCTTCTGAAAGAAATTCGATTTAAAAAAATGAATAAATTGAAAATGTTTCTTCTTTCCATGCTTTTATTGACTATTTGTTTTCATTTACATGTAAAAAATAAAATAAAAATAGCGGGCCAGCAGCCGACGTTGCTGTCGTCGGAGGCGTCCGCTGCAGCCGCCGCCGCCTTCAGAGCTCGCAGCATGCGGCGCCACCAGCAGAGCCGCCGTCGGTGCCGCAACCAGCGACGGTCCGTCGCTGGCGTCGTGAGCGACGACGACGTCCTCGACGTCGGCCACTCCAGTCGGCACCGTCTCCATAACCTGTCCTCGTCGTCACTGTCGTCGTCTTGTTCGCTCAACAACAACAACAACAACAACAACAGCAGCAGCAGCCGACGGACTCGTCGCTTCGACCTCCAACATGGTGAAGATGCTGACGCTGATGACGACGACGACGACGACGACGACGAGGATGATGATGCAGATGATGATGATGAGGAAGGACGGATGGACGCCGGAAATGTCGGGAATTCCTCGTCGTCTTGTAATGATTCGGGGCATCACGGGTCAGAGTCGCAGTGTTCCTCAGGAAACAACGATCAGGTAAACCCTGGAGCTAGTAAAGTACTGTACACGAGAGGATAACTTTCATTTTGTTCATTTTCATGTTTTTCAAATTACTGTATTTAAATATGTTGTTGATGAAAGCAACTGTTTGAGGTCTTTTGATAATTGCGTTGTACAGTAACTTGAAACAAAAACTTTTTCGAATGCCAGACAATGAATAATTATTTCACTTACTTTTTACATCAATCCCTTCACCAGCATGCTTGAAATGTGCTGATAAAAACCTGATTTTCTTGCAAATTTGGCAAATCAAAAAGAAATTTGAGAAGAACCAACAAATAGTTTACTACAGTATCTTTGAAACCAAAAAAGGGGCAGGGGAATTATTTGAAATAAGTACAACTTCCTCTTCTCATGGACGCAAAAACTTGGATGCAAGGATAATTTCTTAATTGAGTATTTTTTAAATTTTCAGTTTGAGCTCATCTATTGCCATACTCTATAGCCTTTTAAAAATGTTTTTTTTTTTTGTGGGATAGAATTTTGAGAGGAAATTGCTGCTTATTGTACTTATCCTGTACATGAATGAAATTGTTTGTCAATCATTTTTTAAACCAAACAAATAAGCTTTCTTTTCATATTTTCAGCTGGACCCAGCGGTTTCATTTGAAAATTGCCAATTAATTGATTAATTTTTTAAAATTTGCACACGAGATGAGACATATTTGATTGTAGATAAAAAAGAAATGAAATTAAAGTATGACTGATATTGATTGATTGACTATAAATGCTTATATAGGGTGATTTCTTGGAGACCAATGGACTGATGCTGGCTGAGGCCCTTTGGGACCATTCCACCACTGATGCGGATGAGCTGGCCTTCAGGGCTGGCGACGTCATTGAAGTCCTGGACACGTCTTTCCAGCAATGGTGGTGGGGGGAGCTGCACCACCAGCCCTCCATTGGTGCTGCCGGAGGATGCCCGTCAAATAATAATAATAATAATAAGCCAGCTCCAGCTGGATGGTTCCCTGCAGCTTTTGTCAGGGTCAGTATCTATAAAAACTTGATTGACAACTGCATTTCTCAATTTTTTTTTTAATGTTGAAAATTGTAATTATTTTTTTTTCTGTGTGGTTGGGGAACAGTTGAGGGTGAGCCCTGAGGGAGTGGTTTTAACGGAAGAGCTGATGGAGTCGAGTGAGTCCCGGGGAGAAGCATCAGCAACAGGAGCAGCAGCAGCAGAGGGCATCAGGAACAGTAGCACCACCACCAACAGCAGCATCAGCAATCCTGATGTTGCAGGATCATCATCTACATCAGCAGCAGATAATAGACACAGCAGAGTCAAAAACAAAACATCACCTGTGTCGAAAGAATCAGATGAGGAACGATCAGCAACGATGACAGCTGGAGGAGCAGATGGCTCTTCATCTGCCAGCGCATCTCACGAGCATTATCACGCATCAGCAGGAATGATGACAATAATATCGACACCATTGCTGTCGTTGACTGCTGCTGCTGCTGCTGCTGGTAGTGATGCTGCTGCTGCTTCTTCTCCGCCCGTGTTGCGAGGGCGACATCTAGTCACGGGGATTCCTGCTGCAGCTGATGCTGCAGAGGATGATGATCACTTAGGTGGTGCTGGTGGTGGTGGATTGCAGACGTGCGCCTCGTCGGCCAGTGTGACCACGTTGTCGGGCGGTGCTGCAGCAACGGGTCTCAACCGCAGGAGCTCCATCTTGTTGTCGCACGACCAAGTTCGCGGCAACATCATCAAGGAGATCATTTCTTCGGAGAAGGAGTTCCTCAAGAACTTGTGTGATATCAAACAGGTCAGACGAACAGCAATAACAATACTGAATCATGATGAAGACACAAGATAAGTCAAAAACACTGCTCCTGCTGTGTGATGGTGTTGATCGATTTGTTTCTTTCTTTTTTTCCTTTTCCTGAGGTTGACCAACAAAACATTATTCCTGTCTAATCATACTGTGCAGTACTTTCAAACAACAACAACAAAAGAGAGGAAATAAAATTCCCAGCTGGTGCAGCATAACAGCACAGTTCATTATGAGAGATACTCATCACCGTCTTTCTGTCATATGCTTTTTGAATAAGCAAAAAAAAAAAGTTTTTGAATTTATTTTGTCTGTGTGTTTCTTTCAACTGACTGACTGACTCATCGTCTATATCAGCATGTTGATGAGTAATATATGCATTATATGCATCCATGTATGTTTTATTGTATTTTTGTATCATCATTATTATCATTATTATATTTTTTTCAGGGCTACTTGCACCAGGTCCGACGTCGACCCGACATGTTCACCAAGGAGCACGTGTCCACCATCTTTGGCAACATCGAGGCCCTGTACGAGTTCCAGTCCGAGTTCGTCGGCTACCTCGAGTCCAAGATCAACACCAAGCAGCCGCACAAGAGCTGCGTGGGCGAGTGTTTCAAGAAATACGTGAGTGAAGCATCATATGCTTGATCATCATCATGATAACACTGATCGATGTGATGCATGTATATGTATAGAGAACCGGGTTCAAGGTCTACACCGAGTACTGCAACAACCACCCCAGTGCCGTGGCCACGCTGCAGGAGCTCAACGAAGACCCCAACATTTGCCACTTTTTCGAGGCGTGTCGACTGCTGCAGAAGATGATCGACATCTCCCTGGACGGGTTCCTGCTCACGCCGGTCCAGCGCATTTGCAAGTACCCGCTGCAGCTGGCGGAACTGGCCAAGTACACCAAGGTGCTGTACTTTATATGGGCAATAATAGGCGTGACTTTTTTTTTTTTTTTTTTTTTTCAAATCTCGAAAGTATATAGTGTGCTGTAAAGGCCTTTTATTCCTCAATTTTATTCGTAAAAACATCATTACATGTGCAAGCATTTTGGCCAATTTCAGCGGAAATTCACACATTTATTTCTTATATACAGTACTTCAGCAGAAGGATGTTTACATTGATTTTCAACATTGAATAATCCCCACTCTCAAACACTTGTGTGTCCTTTTTTTATTAATTATAAGAAAAAAAAATTATTTTAATATGAAAATTTAAACGAATGTGATGGTGAGAGACATTGAGTTCTAATTCTAAATACATTTAGCAACATATTTTCATTTTTGAAACTACTGCATATCGAGTCAATTACATTTTTGTTGGTGTGCTCTGAAATAAGTGGTACAACTGAAAAAAAAATCTACTTATCCTTATATACAGTAAAAGGACCTTATGAAAAATGTCTTTGTATTGTGCTGGAATAAATATTGTACATTATATCTAACAAGCACATATATTTGAAAGTTCATGGAATAAGGGAAACCCTTCGGAATTTAATGTTGATTTTTTTCCCATTGAAGAACATATATCCAGCTGGAATCAAATAAAATCCAACGTGGTTATAAGTATCTTTCTTATGCTTTTTTATATCTTTATTAGCCGGATCACCTGGACCACCATGACGTGTTGGAGGCCCTGGAGGAGATGCGAGGAGCGGCATCTGCCGTGAACGAGTCTCGTCGACGTCGGGAAGCCCTCGAGTCCCTGGTGGCCTGGGAAGCCAGTGTCACTGGTTGGGACCATCATCATCATCATCATAATAACAATAATCACAGCAATAACAATAACAGCAGTAGTAGCAATAATAGTCATCATCATCATCACGGCTCGTCGTCGCTTTTGGACACGTCGTCCATCATGCTCCACCAGGGAGACGTGTTCATTCTCAAGGGCTCGAGTGCCGTGAGCCAAAAGTCCAAGGACCTCACGCTGTTCCTCTTTGACCACTTGCTAGTCTACTGCAGAAGGGTGAGGATTTTCATCAATATCATACAATACATTTTTTATTTTTAAATATTGTAGTAACCTATATAGCTACTGCCTGATGTGCACATTATTATTACAAGAGTGCTGTATGAAATCTGTTGTGCATATGTATGTATGTGATGCAGAATAAAAATGCTGATGCACAATACTTTATTATATTCAAGCTATACTTTATATAATTTTTGACAGCTTATTATTAATGAGTGTTGCTTGACTATGTGTACTGCAAAGATTTATATAGGAATGTATATGCAGTACTTGTCAAAAATACATTGCATATATATTCTCATTATCGAGATACAGTAATACGGAGTTCAATTGCATTTTTACTTGGTTTGCGTTAAGCTCATGAAACAGAAGCATTCTTTTGACCTCTTAGCTTTTCATTTCATCCACACCCATTGTCATGTAATGTGATGACTTATTTCTTTGTCTGCGTGTTGCAGGATTTGCTCAAGAAAACCAGCTTTGTATGGAAGGGCAAGATCCCCTTGGATGAGTGCAGGATTGAGGATTGTCCAGATGGCAAGGGTAACTATTATACAACAGTATAGTATAGTATTATTGGAGGAGGGTTTGCATGACAGGCATAAAAGGTGATGCATTATCCTGTACAATTTGACCCTAATCCATCCCTGGACTATGTAGGGTCAGATTGGAAAGTGGTCAAATATTTTGCAAGACATTGTGTGAAATTGAGTGAGAGCAGTACAAAAACGCACTATGAAAGAAGTGGCTGAAGCTGGTCAAATTGCAAGTCAACCTCCCAGACAATTTAACCATCAAATTGTGGGATGGACAAATTGTTGGTGGTTGCATTGAAAAATGCCACCTGTATTATAAATTGGTGTTTGATTGGTGCACTGAAGAAAAAAATCATATGTGTGATGCTGTGAATAAAATTTGATTCATCTGCTGCAGCAAATAAGAAGCTGCATATATTCCAATTACATCCCTGAATAATAAGTATGGCAGTCAGCAAAGATGTCTATATATATATATATATGTAAATTGGACAACTGTATAAGATTTAAAAAACTGGAATGATTTATAAAAACCCATTAGTGAATCATATACAGTGTACTACAGGTGGTACCTTGCAATTTGATCCTAATCCGTTGCCACACTTGGGTCAAAGGGCAAAGCAGTTGAATTGCAAGACACTTTGTTAAATTCAAAAATATCAGTGCAAAAATGTGCAAAAATGGCCAAAGCAGGTTGATTTGCATGGCAAAAGCCAAATTGTGAATCAACTCCCCTGCAAATTCGACCATCAAATTATGGGACAGTCATATTTGAGGGAGCTTATTTAAAATGCAATAGGTACCACCTGTATACTGAAAGCAGATGAGCTTGCCTATTGCCTATTATTCAAGGTTTATTTTAATTCAAATCACTTTTTTTTCTTTTAATCACATTTATTTTCTTAGTATTCTTGCTGCAATAATAATAATAATAATAATCATGATAATAATAATAATCATAAGTCATGTGATGATGATGAGTGTGTTTGTTGTTGTTGCTGTTGTTGCTCAGATGAACACCTGGGGGTGCCACTGAAGAATGCGTGGAAAGTGGTCAACACTGTGCGGAGTCACTACTTCCTCTTCTACACCAGGACTGCAGAAGAGAAGCTGGAGTGGATGAGGGCCTTTGGCCGGGAGCGGGCCCAGGTCAGGCAGGACCTGGAGCAGGGCATCGTGTTCACGGAGCGCGAGAAGGAGGACGCGAGGAGGGCAGCACTGGCCACCAGGACCAACAGCAAGTTCAACAAGAAGCCCAAGGGTATGTATGCATATACAGTTTTGTATATATACAGTACAGTACGCAAAATTACAAATTCAAAATACTGTACTTGTTGTCATTTAAATTATAAGATACAATCATTATATTTTGGGGGAAATTTGTTGTATACTGTACTACAGTAATTGATAATTTGTTATAAAGAGAGTTTCAAAATGTAGTGCAGTATATGGAAAGAATGGGAGATATTTAAGGGCATTACAGGAAGTACTTCATAGACATATAGAGGTGATTGTGTCTCTCTGTGTGTGTCTAGATGTCACTTCTTTCAACAGTCTACTATATATATATATATATTGCTTTATTGTATTTGCACATCATCATACACCAGCATAATTCAATACAAGATGGAGCATCACTTTTTCTGACTTATGCTCTGCTTTGTGTGAGAAATAACATCAATTCTTGAAATCATGCTCAACTGTTGTATATATATATATATATATCACATTGATTTGATGCAGGCAAGCCGAGCAAAGTGAAGCTGGACCCAGATGTGATGGCCAGCTTCATGCGGCAGATGAACCCCGCTTCATATTCTGCTGCTGGCTCCACCACCACCACCACTAACAACACCATCCCTCATCATCATCATCCACGAATGGTGCACACCACCGGCAGTCTGTCTCGCCTGCCTCACACTAGTAGTGGTGGTGGACCATCGCAGCAGGTGATGCACTATCGCAACGACGTCCGCTACCACAGCAACTCGGCCAGCAGCAGCAGCAGCATGAGCAACACCAGCACCAGCACCAGCACTGGGCCCAGGACAGTCGTCATGGAGAGGACACATCGCAAGGACATGCGCATGTACGTGGGCATGGATGCCGAGGACGAGGACGAGGATGGCGAGGACGCCTGGCACTCGACCACCACCACCACCACCACCACCAACAATGGTGCGAACACCATGCCCAATACCACCACCAACACCAATAGTCTGTCGAAAAAGAAGTCTGCGTGGTTCAACTTTGGACAAAAGAGGTCTACCACTGCCAGCACCATCAGCACCAGCAGGGAATTGCCTGCCAACAGCACCTTTTATACGACAGCCTGATGATGAAGATGATGATGATGATGATGATGCGAGAAGCATTTCCGGAATTCTCAGGGATCTTATCATTATTGCAAAAGAAGAGGAGGAGGAGAGCGAGAATGTGATACTGGTTTTTTTTTCTCCTGGTTTTGTTAAACTGCTGCTTTTGTTTCTTTCCTGTTTTTTCGATGTACGGTGACGACTCGATATTAAATTGCGGTTCCCAGATCATTATTGTCAGTGTCAGCGATGCAAATGTCGGTTCTTCTGATGATTATCATTTTTTTGGCGTTTGATGTTACCTAGTTTATTATTATTATTATTATTGTGACCCGTGATGATTAAAAAAAAAAGTCCTCAGATTTCAATTCCTGATGACCTCGAATTTTTTGTGTTTCAATTCTCTGAAGGAATATGCCGCCATTTTGCTTCTTAAACTGGAAGTATACATATAAGGAGAGAAACCTGAAATGAGCAAAAATTTCAAGAAAAATGTTGAGAAAAAATTAGTGATATTTAAAAAAAATTTTCATCTTTGGGTCAAATTATTTTTTAGGAATTTAACCCAATTGGCGCATTGCCAAATCCTTCTTTCACGTGTCAATTTACTTTCCAGGTATTTATCAACGCGCAAAGACTGATACGTATTAGAAACCTCCTAGTATCAATACATCTTGCTTCATTTCTCAATGTAAGGATATAACTTATTTCATAGGTATATCGCAGAAAGGGTAATTATTAGACGATGGGAAAATTTACTCAAGGAAAATAAGTGATGCAGCATCACTCAAGAGAGCAAAAAGTGCAGCAAATTTAAAAGAGTGAAGTAGAGGTTTCCCAGAAAACCTTCGCCGGGATTTACTCTTCGAAAAATTTGTCCGACTTTTCCGGAAACAGTTGTCAAGTTTCGGATATTTCAAGATCGTATGGTTTGATCATGTCCAAGACAACGTCTGGGACGGACTTGCGTCTGATGGCATCAGATGAGTTATTATCGGCACCCATCAGCAGCAATAACACACGAGCAGCTAGAGCCAACTTGAATAATGCGAGACAACAACAACAACAACGACAAGGTCTGGAGCAGGAAAACGCGTCGGGGTCTGCTGTCGATGATGGTATTGCCCCCAACGACAGGCAGTACCAACACCAGTACCGGTACCAGCAGGAGGCAGAGTCCACGAATCTCAGACCTGTGGCTTCCATGTTGACCAACTTCACTGGGTAGATACATGCAATAACTTACTGTTGACAAATCCTCTCACTCTGGATTAAGTCATCCCATATATATTTTTTGACAAAAACATAGCTCACTGAATTTTCAAGGGTCATCCATCACTATATACTTTCAAGGAACTTCCCTGTTATCTCAGTAACTCATTCCTAGACTGCACTACCATCCAGACAAATCTTTAGGACAAGTTCATAATTACAACAATCTACCAGAAACTGAATTTTAGTTTTCCGCATTCTGCTGAAACTGATTTTGGGAGGCAGTTAGGTGAAGTTAGGTTAGGTCACGTTATGTTAGTTACAAATACCTTTTAATTAACATAACCTGACCTATACCTCCCAAAATCAGTTTCAGTAGAAACCCTAAGAAAGCAGAAACTGATTTTGGGAGGTGGTTAGGTGAAGTTCAGTTAGGTCAGGTTAAATTGGTCAGAGGGAAGGTACAGAGATAACTGGGAAGCACCACTTTCAAGGGCAGATGAAAGAGCATATAGGCTTTTATTCAATGGAACACATGACTGGAATTGTGTCCATATGTTCAATTTCAATGATGATGATGACTCATTGTCAACCCCACAAATCAATGGTCAAATTTGCTGGGATGAGGTCAACTTGGCAATTTGACCTCTGCTTTGAAACTTGACCCACCACAAAAAGATGCAAAACATGAAATATGCTGTAGAAAACATGCCATTTGACATTGTCTTGCAATTTGACCCTAGTCCAGCAACATATTACAGTATATAGGGTTAAATTGCAGGGCAGCACCTGTATTAACGTAATTGTTATTGTTCCAGATACTTTAGCAATAGGAGTCCACCTGTGGAAGAAACTGGTGGCAAGGGCAAGTGGTTGATGACAGAGACTTGGATGAGGAACAGGGACAGGATTGACTACTTTTTCACCACTCTAAGATTTGCCATGAGCTATGGTACCTGTTGGCGATTTCCATATGCCTGCTACAACTATGGAGGTAGTTGTATATGAATGTTTTTTTTTTTAAACTCTACATCCATACATTTTTTGTCTTTTACATACTTGTACAGTACATACATATTAGTGAATAAGGAAGTGATGATGTGTAAAGATTGTTTTTGCAGGAAGCTTTTTTGTAGTGTATGCCATCATGTTCCCAGTCCTGGTGCTGCCACTGTATACACTGGACCATTGCCTGGGCCAGTATTCAGGCCTGGCACCTGTGGCTGCCTTTAGGAACATTGCACCTGCTTTCCAAGGTACGTGAGTGTGTTTTGAAAAACTAAAATGGCTCTTTTGTGGGCAGGCCAAAATTTCAATTTTGAATATACTGTATATTGGCAGTTTTTTTTAAAGCCGCTGATGCTTCAATTGAAGATAAGAAATGGGATACCAAAATTGTTGGAGCAGCAGCTGTGCTTGATATTAAATTGTCAAACAATAATATTGTTGAAGGTATTGGCTTTGCCATGACCCTGGTCACAGCCACCATGTTGGTCTACTACAGCTTCCTGGCATCCATCACCTTCTCCTACCTCTTTCACTCTTTCAAGTCCAACCCTCCTTGGGACACATGCAACAGGACAAGTGCAGGCCCAGGTGTGGAATGACTCATTGACTCTTTTTTTTCTATTGTGGCCCCACTACTGTATATGTGCTTCTGGCAATTGCATAAACACAGAGATTAGCCTGTTGCAAGGCAACTTTGAAGAAGAATAAGATTGGTATTTGTTTTGCAGATATTGCCTATATGTGCTAATATTAATATGCAGCAGTTGATTTGGTAAATTTGAGCATTATTGCATACTTTTCTGTGTATAGATTATTTGGGCTTTGAATCTTTGTGTAGTACTATGTACATATGTAGGATGTGAAATGTGTGTGTGTGTGTTTGACTCATCATCATCATCATGGTTGTCCTTGACATTCACACCCCCCTGATGCAAGGTGCGCAGATTGCTGGGATCCCGACCTGAACGAGTCCTGTCGTTTCGTCAGCAGAGAGGCCTGGCAGGTGTGGTGGGCAGGTGCTTGTCACTCTGCTGCCGACTTTTGCAGTGGCAACAAAAACACCTGTCTCGTTGGTGAGTGTCTTTACATGAAGAACAAATCAATTGACGGCTTGCAGGGCCTGATTTATGGGGGGAAAGAAAAATAAATAATGTCGGGAAGATTGTGTGCGTGGGATTTGTGATGAGGTTCGGTGTGTGAGAGGTGGCCCATGGGAGCGCTGAACGAGTCGCATTGTCTCAACGGGTCCGCGGCTGTGCCACTGGCCAGGGCCATTGACTGGGCCATCAAGCAGGACGACTACTTCAGGCAAACCCTTTTCTTCTTTTTCTTTTTGCCCATCAATTTTCGACATTCTGGATTGTTTTTTTTAACATGTTTTTATTAACTCGCTTTCTTGTCTGTTTGTTTGTCCGGATCAAATTTTGTTTTGAAAACGTGGTTTTTTAGATTAATTTTTTAATCTACTAAATTTTTTTATTTTTAAACATTTTATCAATTTACTGAGTGACCCCAATAATGAAAGTGAAACTTTTCCAATATTCTTTACCTGCTGGCCCAAGGAAATCCTTGTCTGGCCGGCGACTTGATTATTGAAATTTCTTTGCCACTTTAATAACCACTACGTACCTTTTCTACATTTCAGATAAAGTGGTTGAATATACTGAATATAGGCAACGACGAAATTTCAATTTCAGCTGGCCTGACAATAAATAAGTCATGATATTTATATAAGTTTATTTATTTTTATGTTTTTACAATCACCTGAAATATTAAGAGACCTCGTCGTCATCCACCAATAAAGTACTCTGCATGGGACAACTCTCGTATATATATGCGTCTGAATTCATGGAAGAAGCCCTGGCATTAAATATCAATTTGTCGAGGCTTATTCATCATTATTATTTTTTTATTGTGTCGAGTCGATGAAATTAAAATACTGCATACAACTTGAGTGAATAATGCTACTTATTTATGATGACGGCGATGCTGGTCCTGTGATGCTTGTCGATCGTCCTCGTCGTCGTCGTCCGAAAATGTACACACATGCAGAAGAGGAGTGATGCGAGTGATGGATGATCACAATCATGACGACGACGACGACGACGACAAGGAAGACCGCTTGTTGCTGATGCTGTCGACGACGACAACGACGACCAAGACCAAGACCAAGACCAAGGCCACCACGACCAGCAGCAGCAGCAGCACCACCACGTTGGCGTGGCGGCACAGCATGGGCACCCTGAACGTCGGCCTGTGCGCCGCCTTGGCCGCCGCCTGGCTCATCCTCTTCCTGGCCGGGGTGTCGGACGTGGCCTGGAGAGTGGGCCGTCTGGCCTACGTGTCCACAACTGCGTGTGCAGTCGTGTTCGTCTACTCCCTGGGGGCGAGTGAGTGTATAATAACAAATATATACAGCGTAAATTTAAAAAAAAGATTTAAATTAAAAAAAACATGTTCAAATTGTCTTGTCGTCTTCGTCGATGTTGTTGTTGTTGTTGTTGTTGTTGTTTGTAGGCTTGTCGCTGGACGGCGCCAAGGACGGGCTGCGACATCTGGTGCGCGTCAAGGGCGAAGACTTGGCCAGCGCCAGACTCTGGCTCGAAGTGGGCGGCGAGATGGTGGTGCTCTTTGGCACCGGCACCTCCAGCGTGTTTGCCATCTCCACCAGCCGCAAGTTCTACAACAACTGCGTCAGGTGTACTTTCAGACCAGGCATTTCCCTATATACATACAGTATATACCGACTCATTTCATATATGCAACATACATGCAGCAATGATGTATGCTGCAGTACCGATTTTCTCAGGTATCACGTATAGGTGTCGCATCAAGTCATTTATGTCTTCATGTATAGTTGGGCGTGAATCATTTGTGCATGTATCAAGTGCGGACATGTGAAAGATCTGTGCCACCAAATTCATTTTCATTATCGTATTGCATTCCAATGGATAAGGATAAATGTCTTGAAACTGTATATACACGTACTGCATGTGAAATGTTCTCTGATGCGTAAGTGGAAGGAATTTCCATTCTCATAAGGGAAATTTCTTGCTTGAATCATGAGAAAAAAAATCTGAAATTATAAGCATCAAAAGAGCATCGCATTATATTCAGTATTGAAATTTCACATTGTTTCTTTTGGATATTGATTTTTATAGACTACCAACTTTCGAATTATTCCCTTTTTCTCGTCCTTATTATTGTCCACAATATGTGCTGGCAATAACTTCCTTTACATTGAATTGTTGTTCATTTTTCGAGCAGGGACGCACTTGTGAGTGGCCTAGTGACGCTTGTGTGGCCCATTCTGGCCGTGTGCACAGTATTCAGCGTCCTGGGCCACTTGAAAGACGCGGGCCAAGGCGGCGGCGACGACCCTGTGAAGGTGGCGCCGCTGGGTTTGTTGTTCACGGCGGTCTCAGCCCTTTCTGCTCACCAGCCAAACACCTTTGCCGCCGTTTTCTTTGTCTGTGTCCTGTTGGCGGGATTCACTACCACAGTAAGATTTTTATGTGGTAAAATAAATGTGTTCTCTACAAAGAGGAAAGTGTATATACAGTATATGCTGTCTTAATTTTTGCAGTTTTTTTTCTTCCTTTTTTAAACTCCATATATATACTGTTTTGAACTTTAAGAAAAAAATTTTTCAAGTATACATTTCATTAATTTCCTTCATCCTGCGGTTTATATATATATAGTTCTCGCTGTTGGAGATGATGATGAGCAATTTGTTGCATCTCCGGATGGACATCCGGTCGAAAAAGTGCCTGGTGATGTTTGGCATGTGCTGTGTGGGATTCCTGTTGGCCCTGCCATTCTGCTGGCAAGGTACTGCTGCTACTGTATGCACTTTTCAATCCAACTTTCCTCGCAAAAATGAGACCCAGCTTGGATGTACAGTAATGTGCATTTTGTATATATTGAAAATATGTCACTCCACAATTTTCAAACTTTATTGTAAACCCTAGAAAAGGAGTGATTTAGAAAAATACACGCGATAAAAAAATTTGAATGACCTTTATTACTATATGAACAGGGAATCAAAGCGGGATTTGTGATTGTTTTTTGTTTATTTTTTTTTATCAAATTGACACAAACAATTGAAATAAGGTGGCATATTTTGGCTGGTGCTTGTGGACAAGTACTTGCCTCTTGCTGCTGCCATTCCGCTTCTGCTGGCCGAGGTCCTTGCCATTATTTGTGTTTATGGTGAGTATTCTATATGTGCTTTAATACTGAATACCATTACTGTACTGTATGTGCACAAGTGCATACTAGCTCTAGTGCTGTGTTCCCCAGGCCTTTGGTCCACAGACTGGCAACATTCTGCAGAATTTTTCTTGCCAGTCTGTCAGACATTTTCAGCATAATTAATTTATCAAAAGTTGCATGAAGTCTTTTATCTTTATCTGAAATGTTTGTAAGACAATGACAGTAGAAATTATCTGATGTAAAACAGAAGTTGGCTTTTTCCTCCAAATAACACTCCAGACATATTTTCACCAGCTGAAATAAATTATTTTAATTTTTCATTCTGAGAAACATTTTTTCAAGACCACCTTTAGTTGGTTCATTGGTGCTTGAATTAATTTTCTGCAAAAAGCAGAAACTTCCTTGCAAAAAACCTTATTCCATACAGTCTTTCAAGCAATACTTTTTTGAAACTCTCCCAGTCTGCAGAAAATGTTTTGGGAATATGCTGGTCCCAAACAAAATGTTTTGAAAATTTACTGGTCTGCAGACCCAAAAGGGTTGGGGAACAATGCTATAGTGTGTGTGTACAGTATATGTCTGATGAGACTAAAACTAGGTACAGTAGTATTCAATCCCTTGACCCTTTCTTCTTCCCCTCTATATATGCAGGCAGAAGGCGCTTGTTTACAGACATCAACAAGATGCTTGGCAGACTAAACTGGCCAACAAAGATGTACCTTTCTCTTGCCTGGCACTTCACTGTGCCCCTAACTCTTGTGGTGAGGTTGAAATAAGAAGAAGATACCGAGTCCAAAATATAAGCTTGGTAAATTAAACTATAATTGAAGGAGAGAGGATATGCAGGTATAGTCTGTAGGTGATGGACTACTCTATTGTGTAGCAAAATGAGGCAGCAAATAATTCAAGAATTTATTGATTTATTTATTTATAAACAAGCTTCATTTTATTCTTTTCAGCATTTACAAGGTTCAAATAACGTTCCCACACCCAAACCACCTAACCCTCTGCACACCCAAATCCATCCAAACACATTCCATCACATCAAGATGTCAAGTAGAGAAATAAGCTGGTATTAACAGAAAAGAAAGTGCCTCACAGAAGTTTCAAATGCATAAATGATCTAAATGCATGCTCTTACCCCCCCCCCCCCCCCCCCAGAAAACAGTAAGAAAATGTCATTAATAAAATTGAAGCTCAAGGTGTTCAGCCTGCTCCCAGATAAGTTTCAGTAGATCAAAGTATTTTATCCTCTTGTGCAACTCATGTTTTGTTTAAAATATAGTCCTGTAAAGTGTTTGATAAAACTCTGGTCCTCTATACGTGTATTACAGTACATGCCTTGTTTATGGTTTTTTTTTGTTAAAGATCTTACTGGGTTTAGTGGTGGTGGTACCACTGCGACTATCATTTGGCAGACATCAGCTCCAAGCTGAGGTAGTCAAGGGCTTCTTTCTTGCTCTTGTCTTGGCCTGTCTGGTTTTTGGGGTCATCATTGCACTTTGGTGCGAATGCAAGGATGAAGAGCAGGTGAGAGACTGTCTTGCAGGAGAAAAAGAAAAAAATAAAGACAAAACTGCAATGAAATGATGTATAGTTCAATTGTTGGCATCATGTTATCAATTTCATGAACTTACCTGTGAGTTGGTAATACTGTATTCTTAATCCCTGTATTCATGATTATAAGCAAATGAACTATAGAGGCCCTATATCTCCACAACATTCCAACATGCTAAAACCCTAAAACTCTTCAGTACAGCAGTACAGTATTTTGACAATGCTGTGCAGTACATTTGGACTGTAATTTTTCACAAGACCATTGCAAGGAATTTTTAATAGAGAGAATTTATTTCTGTATTTGAATGAGTTTTCCGAGTTTTCTTTGAGGTATTCATCAGACATAAAAATCACTATACACAGGGTAAGAATTCACACTTTGAAAATAACTATTGTATATAGCTCATGGCACTATTGCTTGAAAACATAGTCTTACATCTGAGGACACTTTTTATCTACTTTTTGAGAAGTATTATTTTTTTTGGTGATACCGACTCCCGGGAATTCATTTTCTGCTGGGGGAAAACAAACATAATCTCAGATCCCCTCATGTTGGGTTATGGTCATGCAAAAATGCAGGATTTTTCAAGGTAAAGCATCAATTCTGAATACAGGTGGTTGGCTCATTTCCCAGTTCTTCATTTAAGATCAGATGAATCTAGACAATCTTGTAGTTATTCTTGTCTATGAACCAATAATGTAGTCCTGCATGGAAACAAAAGAGAGAAATTGCATGGTGGTATATGCCATCCAGCATGATCAATAAGGATTTGAGAAATGTACTGCTGTACCTCTTTCTTGATTGTGATGTTCGTAAAGGGGGCGTCATTCGTCATAATGTTATATAAATGATTTCCTGTGTGTCTTCTCTTTAGAATGTAGATGGCGACAGTGGTGAGACCAATAATAGGAAACACGCTTGCATACAACGTGTCCTGGAACCAAAGCCTGACTGGAAACCGTCCTACATGAGGGACTGGATCATGCCACCACTCAAGCGAAGGCCCAGTCCCATTGGGACACTCACCACCGTGGCCCCACCTGATGATGATAATGATGATGATGACGAAGGAGCAGTATGAAGTTACTCATTCGTTCCTCTTGTAATGCATATAGTTGAGCTTCTTTTAAAAACAACAGCAACAATAGTATGGCTTCCTCGTTGATTAATCTTTTCTTTTCTTTTTGGAATGATTGATCTGATCCGTGTGTCAATTTTCATTTTCTTCGGCAAGAAAAAAAGCACATGCTGGTTGGCATCACAAGAAATGAAGCGCTGTAATCATCTCATCTGCTGTGGTCACCAGCAGCACTGATGCAGCTGTCTACAATAAAAATGCATGACAGAGATCAGATCAAACGACAATAACCATGCCTAAAAATAACATAAAGTTAAGCAATTGAACCACACATCAAATAAGCCTCTTGTGGAATTTATTATCACAAACAATTCATGAAAAAAAAAACACAAGATTCCTATACAGTATGTGTATAACCTGACCAAATAATGCTTCAGTAATTAGAATAATTACGAATATAGATAAAAATCTGCAGAATTCCGCCAGGACAAAAGCAATGTGAAGATTAATGCACTCGTTTAAATCAAAAATTATGTCGCAGAGATATTTGCTGCCTCATTTTGATTAAATAAGAAGAAACGTATTCCATTATCACTTGATTGGACCTGAACGTTTATCCAGGGATCACATTACTGTATCCATAAAGTTAATTTATTGTGCGTCATTTGAAGGAAAAAATCACTCATGACCGTGGATGCTTGAAGAAAGATCCGTTTGCTGTTTAAATTTGTTTTTGTCTTGCGAAATGCACTCGTCAATTAACTTGAAACTATACTGGCTTGCTTATATTGAGGGATTCTCGGAGCATGTTCTGCCTCTATGTGTGCGACACCTATCAAATCAAACTAAATATACTTTGGGAAGTAAGTTAATTTCGGTCACAGATGTAGCGAATGTCAGAAAAGAGGGCACACGTTTGTGTATTCTGCTGTTTTCTCACATGAGCAATGGGTTCATAAATCGACGCCAACGTTTCGCTCAACGCCTTATCTCTCTCTTGAAAAACCTGTTTTCCAAAGCGCTGTTTTTCATTCTCTATACAGGAGAACTACAGTACAGTACGTTCATAACGGGTGTGTATGTTTTCTTCTAGATGTCACTTGTTGTTTCACGGCATGGAACATTCATTTGATGGTTGAGGAGGAGGAGAGCGTTCATAACATCTTTCAATAATAATGATCCACATTAGTGGACAACGCGTTCACAGGTCAAAGTAATAGAGATGCGTACCGTATTTGAGTTCTTTTCTTTTTTCAACCTGTGTAAAGAAGCATTTGACGCTTGCATTTAAAACTGCAAACTCGACATGTCTCTGATGTGGAAATTGCCAAGCTTGATCTAGAGTTCTAGACACAATTTAAATTGAAATTTCTAAATTTTGGAGAAAGCTTTGTGAACAAAGTAAATTAGTTTCTGTACGAAACTGCATATTCCTAAACTTGGTGTTCATGCTGTGGAACACTTGTTCCTAATTAAAAAGTCTACATATTTTCGAAATCAAGCACTAAACATCATTTCGTTGCTGTAGTTTGAAAAAAAAGGCCCAAACATTTTCATTGATTGTTACGACAATTTTTTCTTGAAAACAGTCTCTCTATTGTGGAAGAGGACCTATAATTTCAACTTCCTCAAGCGTTCTGTCATTGTGAATTCGGGACTAACGCATAATACGGTGTCTATATATGTATACACAGGTGAAATATAAGTAATTAAATAAAATAAGATTTAAAAAAACAATTGAGAAGAAAAGGACGACATTTGAGTAAACTGGACGATTTTGCCTGTATTTGCTCTGAAAGACATAAGAGAAGAAGAAAAAAAAAACAGACGGAAGTAGCCAGAACAGGACATAAACAAAAAACAAAAAGCGGCTCGTACAAAAATCTTTTCTCTCTCTAGACCAATTTTTCGAAAACCCTCCCAAAGAAGCAATAATAAAAGAACCGGTCCCTTTTCTCCTCCCCAGAAGAAACAAGGCCGATTCCGAGAGTAAAATCACTAGGAAGCCTCATCCTTTCGGTTCCGATTTCTGAGCAATAAATAGCCAATAAATAAGGTTTTTTTTCCCCCTCCTCATAATTTTATCCTCCTCCCCCCTCCGCTCTCTTTCAAAACAAAAAACAAAAACCAAAAAAAAAAAACTGGAACAGAAAGTCCATTACAAAATTCCGGCAAGAACTTTGCCGAAAAAAATAAAATAAAACAAAAAACCCCCCGACAAACGCCACTTTTTCCGTCCTAAAAGTTGAGAAGGGAGGAAACAATACCAGGGGAGGGGGGGGGTCAACACTTTTTTCGTCTTCTTCCTGGCCAAACAAGCAACAACAACAAATCGACCGAAACTCTCTTTGCAATAAATTACAATACCCCCGTATGTCGTAAATCTCATAACTTGAGACTCGTGAAGATCAAACAATTCTTGAGGAAAATTAAACAACAACAAAAACAACAAACAGCGACAACTAACTCCGACACTGATAATGACGGGAAAAGTGGAAACAGAAGCTGGGAAATATAACAGATCATCGAAGCATATATAATGTATAACTATTTCTGCACGGCTGCCCAAACTCTTGAAAATCTCTCTCTCTCTCTCTCTTTCTCTCCAGACCCAACACATCACAAGTACAGTATATTAAAACTAAACTCTAGTACAGTACAGTTGGACGGAAACATTATCTTTACGAAACAAAACAACAACAAAAAAACACGAAAAGAAAATAAACCTTGGCACTTTTCGCAGCTACGGAAAAAGCGGGAAAAGGAAACATGCGACGACACCTACCCTCTTGGTTTTAAAACCCGAGCCGTCGCAGTTCTGCTAGATGTCTTTGCACTACTGCCGATAGAAAAACAAAACAAAAACAAAAAACCCTCCCTATCAGGTTCATTAAGGTATTTCAAAGGAAAGATGCTTGGTAACGTCTTCACCGTGTGTTTGCAGCCTCATCTTTTTCCAGAGGATCTGTCATCATGTGAACTACCCTCCACCCAAAACATAAAACAAAATAAACTAAACAAAATCTCATTAAAATAACTAATGTTCAAACCCCCTCCCTTCCCTTTTCCTCCCCGCACGAGACATGTACTGCTGCATACGCATGTACATGCCTATACATACAATCCACAGACGAATTAAATACTGGACGGTCGACAAACAGGACGGATCTGGAAGCACCCTCACAGCCTCAAACAAGAAGAAGAATCACACGTATGAATCATCAACAGACAGACAGACAGACAGACAGCCACAGGTAAAAACAACAAGTAGCTTCGGGTCCCAGAGGCCACAAACAAACAAAACAAAAAAAGGGGGGAAATCATTACCTTTCCTTCTCCTTCTCTCTTTCCTTCTCGTCTTCTATTTTTTCTTTTCTTTCTTCTTTGAATGGGTGGGAGATAGGTGTGATGGGAGGAGAAGAAGAAGAAGAAGATGGACAGCCATGCAGATAACCTATGTGTCAAACATTTTCGTCGTCAAGGTAAACGTATAAGTCACTCAAGTCTCAGTCGATCCTACCTCCATCCCTATTTAACAGGAGACAGACAGACAGACAGACAAACATAGAAAAAGGATTTAGAGGGATATAGAGGAAGTACAGTACACAGTATATACTGCTGTAGTCAAGCGTCGGTCAACGCCTAGCACGCGTCATCACAGGGCCAAAAAAAAAACATCAAAAACAAAACAAAAATACAACTGGGGTGGGGGCAGGTCTTTCTTTCTTTGCTTTGTAAGTGTGTCAGTGTGATTGCTTGTTTGTTGATGCATCAAGAGCAATGAAGGAGCGCGCTTGAGGTACAGCTTTGCTTTCGGGACATCATCATCATCATCATCGTAGTCTTTCATCATTTCGTCCAGCTAGCAGATGCGACATCTATCCTAGTGCTTGGTGTTGCGGTTGGTCCAATGGAACACCAGCTCTCGGGCGATGCTCTTCATGGTGTCCGGCTTGACGACGAGTCCGTAGTTGGACTCGAGGTAGCGGGCCACGTCGTCCAGGTTCGTGGGCACGCCCATGGACTTGGCCTTGTGGGACAGCAGGCCAGCCAGCTTCTTCACCTGTCCGTCGTTGGGCAGGAAGTCTGTCCAAGACAGCGCGGGCTCGGCGAGGTGCTGCCTACGGCCTGTGACGCCCATGTGGAGCAGCGTCAACACCGGGAGCTCACGGTAGTGACGACGGAGGACCATGAACAGGTACGGGCCCTACATCGGTGATTATATGGAGTACATGAAAAGAAGTCGCAATGACAGAGAAATTAAATTGCATTACTGCTGTATTCCTTTTCCTATACGCATGCGACATATGTGCTACAGTATATGCTCGATGCAGTCGCGGCCGGGATTCTGCTGGGAAGCAGCGCGTTTCTTTGCCTTTTTTTGTTGTTCATGACGTGAGGCGTGCGACATCTAGATCTAGAGTATCTTGCCAGTGTTATGCATAAACTCTCCAAGGGGACGCTACAGTGAACAGTAGTCGGCGCTGCCGCGTATCTCTCTCTATCCATCATCAATCGTTTCGACAATAAGCCTATCTATCATCGTCGCGTTCCAGAGAGCTCGTATCTCTAATGACCGCGCGAAAAAGAACAGTATACTCACTATAGTACAGACGAAAAGGCAAGGGAAAAGACGAAACGTGGGAAAAGGAGAAGAATTGACCGCGGGGAAGTGAAAGAATATGGAGCACATTCCGTCGTCGCTTCACCGACTTTCACCCTCCGTTGCGTTCGCGTCGGTGGGTCATCGTTTAAGGTGTCGCGCAAAAAGGAAAGGGACCGAGACAAAACTCTCGGAACAAATACGCGATACTATTCATTAATGTACCCCCCTTTCCTTTCATTCTCCTGCACCAACTGCTTTGCTCCAATAAATCACCCAAGCGTTACGCTGATCACAAGACGATTCCATCAAGAAAGTTATTCTATTCAGCAGCAGATAAATTAATAAATTATCGCATCTCAAAGATGGTCTGACTCGTGTAAAAGGAAGTGCTTGCAGTGTCCAAAATATGAGCGACATCTATGTCAATGTCTCTTCCTCATAGATCTCGCTGGAGCTCCCTCGTACTTTACAGTTGTATACCGTATACACACATTCGCTCCAGATGAGTCGGATCGATACAGCAGATAATTTATATTTAGATTTAGACTTATTTTCANAAAAAAAAAACATCAAAAACAAAACAAAAATACAACTGGGGTGGGGGCAGGTCTTTCTTTCTTTGCTTTGTAAGTGTGTCAGTGTGATTGCTTGTTTGTTGATGCATCAAGAGCAATGAAGGAGCGCGCTTGAGGTACAGCTTTGCTTTCGGGACATCATCATCATCATCATCGTAGTCTTTCATCATTTCGTCCAGCTAGCAGATGCGACATCTATCCTAGTGCTTGGTGTTGCGGTTGGTCCAATGGAACACCAGCTCTCGGGCGATGCTCTTCATGGTGTCCGGCTTGACGACGAGTCCGTAGTTGGACTCGAGGTAGCGGGCCACGTCGTCCAGGTTCGTGGGCACGCCCATGGACTTGGCCTTGTGGGACAGCAGGCCAGCCAGCTTCTTCACCTGTCCGTCGTTGGGCAGGAAGTCTGTCCAAGACAGGCGCCCGAGCCGCTCCACGACGGATGCCGGACACTGCGGGTACACCTCGTCGCAGTTGTGGCCCTCGAGTGCCATCACTGCTGCCTCCTGGTACTTGTCCATGCCCGGGATGTAGCCACTAATATACAGCACATGAAAAGAAGTCGCAATGACAGAGAAATTAAATTGCATTACTGTACTGTATTCCTTTTCCTATACGCATGCGACATATGTGCTACATGCTAGAGGGGCGTTTCTTTGCCCTTTTTTTGTTTATGACATGAGGCGTGCGACATCTAGATCTAGCGTATCTTGCCAGTGTTATGCATAAACTCTCGAAGGGGACGCTACAGTGAACAGTAGTCGGCGCTGCCGCGTATCTCCATCCATCATCAATCGGCAAAGCTGTTATTCGGATAGATAGTAGCAGCGCAAGGTCTCTCGAGCATAGAGATTACTGGCGCGCTTTTTCTTGTCATATGAGTGATATCATGTCTGCTTTTCCGTTCCCTTTTCTGCTTTGCACGGAAAAGGAGAAGAATTGACCGCGGGGAAGTGAAAGA